TTAACACGTCTCGACTCGCATACTCCGAGCACATTCAAGTCCGGACGCGGGGGCATGGGGAATGTCCACAGCAGCAGCGAACGGGCCATCTTTAGCTTCGACGAAGAGCTAGAGCGCGACATGCGGCGTGAAGAGATGGCACCCGTCTTCCACGTCGGACGAGGCGGTGCTGGCAACATGATCTACCCGTCCACCGACACCTACAGCCTCTCGCGCAAGTTCTCGGGCGGCAGCTCGTCCAGCACCGAGTCGGTGACGGAACGAGCCAAGGAGAAGGCCCGGCGCGGCCTCGAGAGAAGCTGGAGCAAGCTGATGGGTGCATAACCATCATCGATCGTCTTCTAATTGCGATATTCATGACGCATTGTTACGAGGTCACGACCGGATTTTCACCAAAAGTTGTTTTTTTTTCTTTTTTCGATTCTCTTGACGACCGAGGTTACCACGGCGCATTTTTATTTTTCAACACATGGGAGCGGAAATCGAACAGAGCATGTCGATACCTCTGTCAATACCTTCTCTTCTCTTCGTTCACGGCACTCGCAGTGACAATGCTGCTGAGTTTTCATGCATCATTCATGCATCATTATACCCTTGCTGCGAGTCAGTCGAGTTGTTGCATTTGTCTTTTTTTTTGGCCCCTGGGGGCTTTCTTGTTTGATTATGGGCATGGCGTTATCCAGCAAACTGTGGAGTGAGGAAAGGGATTCATTTCTGGGAAAAATTCATATTCGCATGGGCATGTATGACTACTAGGTTTTTTTAATTACTATTTTTCACTCTTCTCTCTTCACCATCAAAAATGATGAGAAATGCATACTGGATGGGGATATGCTGCCTCAGTCCATTTTCTTACATTGCCACTGAACTTCCATTCCATTCCATTCTATTTCATCTTCCATTCTCTTTTACTTCTGTAGGCAAGGCAAGGCACGTCGAGTAGTAAGTAGACTTGACTGAGCCATTCATTCATTCCTTCATTATTCGCCACGTGCTTCGCCTTCCGTTCGATCCGTTCGGCTCTGTAAGCCGTGGCTGTAGCAAGAAAAGCAGGCAGGCAAAAGAAAATTTTCGCATCAGCTGCAACCCTACATACCAGCCAAGTGGGCCTGAGTGCTTGAAGCTTTGAGCCTTTTTTTTTGGCGTATGTCTTACTTATGACGCGATCGATCGATGTCTTGGAAAAAAATTTGAAGATCACTCCGTATGAGTCAGGTAAGGTTAGGTGCGGTACGAGCTACCTACCTCTTTAGGTAATCCCCCTATTCCCAAAACGGAAGTGGCCACCACCGGACTTAGCCGCGGTGAAGCGCAGGCGGAAAGGACGGAAGTCACTTAGGGTGAGGCCTTCAAGATTCTTTCCTGCAACCTCATTGGCTCCTGAAATGTTTAGTCACGTGGGGATCATGTGATAAGTTACGGACATTGGCTGACATAAGCATACCACGTCATTCCTGGAACCTGCCTGCCTGCCTGCCTATCTCTACAAGGCCCCCGAGCGGTGCCTATAGGCCCCTATATGAGCCCTGGAGTATGCAGAGGCTTCACTGCCTCACCATGAGCTGGAGTAGAGTAGATGGCCTATGAGGCCTTGAGAAAGCCTATGAGGGTGCCTACCAAGAAACCATGGAAACCACATAGATTACCTTACATCAGACTGATCAGTTCATCCTAAGTGAGAAATCTTGATTTTAACTGCTTCCTTCTACTTCCTGCTTAGCAATCGTCTTGACATCTATGCAAGTTGTCGACCAACAGCAGCCATACAGCAATAATGGATTCATCCATGAAGGCCAAACGTCGCCGCATCCTCGATGATATCCGTCGTTTGCGTCACCAAGTCGAAGCCCATAAATCAGAATTCTTTGAGCCCAAGGACCTCAGCGAATAGGCATCTGCTCTGTGCAAGTATCCCTGAGTGCTAATGGAGAACGCATCCAATTCAATCCATGTTACTTCGAGCCTCTGTCACCGCAGATCATTCGTAATCATCCGATTACTGACCCTGAGTGGGATCAAGTGAGACCATTGAACTACTATTCTGAAGAAGATTCGGAGGAAGACACGGAGGAGGACACGGAGGAGGACATGGAGGAAGATACGGAAGATTCTGGCTCAGAGAGTTCGGATGATATCGCGAGAGGGTCAAGTATTGACATTCGTGATATCGACCGAGCGGAGATCATAACAGAGCACCTCTATGGCCACCTAGATGCTTCTTCCCGAGAAGGCCTTTTACCATTTCATCAAACACTGTGGGACTTTTCGCCTTTTGAAAGGGGGTAAGTGTATCATATCTTAGTAAGGAAGTTCAAACTAGCCTTTTCAAGACAGCTAATTATTACCTACCTAGGCCAACTGACAAGGGCCGCTGGCGTAAAGATCTGTACCTGCACAATGATTGCATGGAAACAAGTTGGAGAACCAGTGGTGTCCTTGAGGACACCAGTTACGTATTCCCACATGCCGTGTTCTATATGCATCAAGATATTCGGGCAGATAACCACGGAAACCTCACCATATGCGAATTGAAAGCTATCATGAGGGTGATGAGAATCCGCATTTCGCTTAAGGAGTATCGGCAGCATCTGGTTCTTCCAGTGAGTTTCCACCCTCACTGTTGAATTCATCTTTACTGCTACTGATTATCATGAATGAAGGTCTTAATCCTCTCATTTATGGGTCCACAACATGGTAGAATCATCCAAGCGCACCATGACGGAGATAATATGATTATTCAACGTTCACAGCTGTTTGAAATCAGAGACGAAGAGACAGCACCTGTAGAGCTCTTTCTCCGATATTATCTCAGCCAGCCAGTTGGGCTATTTACGGCCACTCTCTGTGTGAGATAGCGGGGAAAGTTACAAGTTCCCTGACAGTGAGGGAGAAGTGCGATGACCCTCGCCGGATGAGCAGGCAAACCGTTCACCCTCGATGATTGATTTAACAGGTTCATCTTCCGCCTTGATTTATATGGAGCTCACAGACAGGATCTCAGAGACTTGGGCTCGCGATGGCTTTATTTAGCATTCAAAGGTAGTTTACGCCTATAATGGCACAACAATTGGTAGCATGTCTCTTTGCTACTGATTAACTCTAAGCCTAGTCCAGACGCGGTGTTGAATCTGTTGCAGAGACCTACTAGTGTTCTCCTCTGCCTTATTGCTGTACTGTACGCCTGGCCAGGACCTTAATGCTTCCTAGTGCCAAGTTGACTAAACCAGCCATTAACTAAAGCACTCAATTTAGCAGTTTTGTGCTTAATTCACTGTGCTGGCCATCTGTCGCTGTTAATTGATCATTATTCACTCTGTTGTCATTTACTGGCGCGTTCTAGGACGGGATGGGAGGCTCCTGCCTAATTTGGTACGAAGCTAGGCAATAACTGAGCTTCCCCGTCCGCCTCCCTTTTCCCTTCTTCTTCTCTTCTTTTTACAACAACCTGCTACCAATTGTCTTCTATTAGAAAATACACATCACAACTTCATCTTGACAAGTACGTTTTCATGACTTTCGTACAAAAATCATCATTATCCTGTGTTATGCCTATAACGGCATAACATAAGTTGTGTTGTGTTCTATCTCCCACAGTTAGAATATTTAATGACAAGCTATCTGATTGCTGTACTCGTCAGCACTCCAGGCATGGCTTCACTTACACAGAAAATGGATTGATCATGTGATTGGAGTTTCATAAAGCACTCTATCAACTCGTGAGTTATAGCTATATCTTGAGCGTTTGTCTAGATGCAATAATGACTTGAGTAACTGATTGAGTTCTGGTTTGAAGTAGAAGCCACGATGACTACCGTAAGCATTGTAACAACCAGGGACAATTTCTGCACCAAGTGTAACCGTTCAGGCCACGCTAAGGAGACCTGTTGGGCGGGCAATCCTGCCCTGAAACGTCGTATCCTGGCACAGAGGAAGGCGAAGTCGGAGAAGGAGAAGAGAATTCTTCAAGAGGCGGCCACGGCCGCACAGGTTAGGGAGGGTCTTGCCTTTCTTGTAGGACTTTCTAAGACCGTTCTTCTAAGCTTTCGTTGCACTGTACTAACTCTTTCTCTAGGGGCAGATGCAGTTGGTACATCTGTAAGCTGGCATCTAGCCAATATATAAGTTCCTATAGTCCGCCGGCACCATCCTCGCCGAAAACGGAACCACGGTCGTCGCTGCCGCGTTCCTCCCCACGACGTCGAATCCCTCCCGCGCTGGCCGTAGCCACCAGCAGGCTTTGGGGCCTGCATTTGCAGGAGTTCGTCGTTCGCGCGGCCTGCGCCGCAATCCTCGAGAACCGGGAATTAAGGTAAAGAAATAGACCATTTGACTAGTTAAACAGCAGCTAATGTATGATATTGAATGTAGGTCAGCCTTGGAGACAGCAAATGCTGCTATCCTTAATCTCGACGAAAGGTGAATAGGCCTTAGGTGGACCAATATAGAGATGGTTTTTGATGGATGATTATCACGGGCATAGGATGTCGGCTGTTGAGAAGTAAGAATATATAACATGGATTTATTATTAAACTTGCTAAAAACTAATTGAGACATAGTGCAAATGACGCTACAAATGCCATGTAAGCATATGAGCAGGGAAGTTTGGCGCTGTCCTAGGACAATGTGGGCTAACAAGATCATAGACACGATGGTAGAGAGGAGCCGTGCTGGTACAACTCCATGGTTGTACCAAAAGCCAAAATGCCAAACCAACGGGTTGGGATATTGTTTGGACAGCTTCTGTGTATTGATTGACCCACCTATTATGGCATTCCATGACAAATCCTTCAAGTTAAAAAGGTGAAGGGAGAAAATATCCCGGATAACTTCTGGGGTGATACTATTGCGAAAGAGTATCTGAATAAGGATGACAAAATCGTGCCACTTTGAATAATTTGGAATCTTTCTGCAGTATGTACTGTACAAGCCTTCAACGACTCGCTCCGCTCGTCTAGGCTTGAAGAGTAGGCTTACTCACTTAGGTAATTAATGCCTATTAGGTAGATGATCTGGACCTTCGGGCCTCCTCAAGCCTATATAATATAAGCCTTTATAAAGCCTATAGGGATGCCAATATGAAGCTGGGGTGCCAATAATAATATGAAGCCTATACTATACTCCGTATAAGTCGGAGGAAACAACGCCTTTTTCGGCGAACTTGTTGACTCTTTCTGTGTCTTTTCCTTACAAATGACCGATGTCCATCGGAAATTCTAGCAATGTTGAAATGAGAAAAGAAAGAAAGAAAGAAACATCTACGATCACAACGCCCTTACACTGCCCTTTTTACTTTGCTACTCTTCTCCCGAGAGTGATCCAACCGTCTCGTCCTGCCTCAAAAATTTGATCGTAAACTCAACAGTGAGTTGTCCAGTTGGAAACCTCCAAGTCTTATTAGGTCCTTGCTGGAATATCCAGCGGTAAGCAAGCACACATCGAATCAAGAACAAAATCGTGTGGACGATTCTAGATGTGGGCCAGTTCTCAGCATATGATAATACTAAATAAATAGGCAAAGAACTTACGCCATTGCCAACCCAAAACCTAATCCAATTCCAGCTAGGATCCGAATCTTCTTCGCAAACGCTTCACAGGTCGGCGTCTCGTAGTCTGGCGGGGTGGTGGGATCCCAGGGACCCGACGAACAGTCGGAGCCGTACGACGCGCGACTTATAATCATAGAGAGGCCATTGACGCAGTAACCAACAGAGTAGAAAGCGACGATGGCGTCGACGATCAGGTTCAAGAGCCACGTCGCGCGCCGACGTCGATACAGGCGGAGAAGGTTGAGGGAGGAGATGAAAGCCACGAAGGCGCTCTAGAGAGGAAATCAAAAGGTTAGCACTTCCAATTGAAGTGACTGATCATTTCATTGATGAGGATTGCTCCGGGCATAATATAGTGATAATATTTCCTACCAGCCCAATCATTATTTGGCAACTCTCTCTGATCTGCCAGTCCATATAATAGTCATGCGGAGAGTATTGGTCCATGATAGCGATGGCAGCGGTGAAACCAAAAGTTAAGACTGAGAGGGCAATCGATAGCCAAGTCAAAATGAACGTTGCTCGCGTGTATGGAGCAGGTGGTTCCACAGTCGAATTGGGCAAAAGTGTGTTGGTCTGTTCATTTTGTCCTCCAGAGGGACCAGTGGAGGGATCTGTGAGAAGAGGGGTAGTTTCTGAGCTTTCGGCCATCTTAAACCAAAGCTGATAGGAAGGTAAAACCAATTTCTGAATTTTTAGACTGTACTGGAGAGATATATGTGGTGGTTCCCACGATAAGAAGACTGCTGAAACTGATGGCCGTCTGTTAGGTGTATGTGTGGGTGTTATTGTCTGGCTGATGTTTGTCCTCGAGTTGAGGACAACAAGTTGCCAAACCGACGATGGCTGCCTGCAGGAGATGTTGGTTACGGCCTTACAGGATGTTGGCGCTAACGCGAACTAGGGTGATCCCGGGATATTATTCCTTCCACCTCAGTTTCAACAACAGTAGATGGCTTATTTTTCAGGCTTGTTCCTGGTGGGTTTGCCTTCTTTGGTCCTTTTATAGGTATCTGGGGTGCTTGGTTTGTTGCTAAAAAAAAGTCTCTAGTGGTATAAGCTCTGCTGGAAGTGAGGCTGTTATTATTATCCTCATTTTTAATAGACTTCCTCCTCTTTAACCACCTCTCCTACCACCATTTCCAGGCTGATCACCTTTTATAGTGGCTTGAGACTGTCATTCATGCTTCTTCTGTCTCCTGGGGTCTGGCACATGTCTGACTGACCTTACAGAGTACTCCGGAGTCCATATTACATACAGAACAACTCTTAAGGTACTCCGTACTTAGCTAAGTGTATGGCCAGCTTTTTGCTTTAGAAAAATGCAAGGGAAAAAGGATCAATATTAATAAACGCAAAGAACGAAGAAACAAACGAAAGGCCACTTTTGGTATTTACATTATTCCGTACAGTACATAAGTTCATATAATACAACCCAAATCCATAACACAAGGATTCAAGAAATTCGAAGGAGTTCGGACATATGGACCACCCCTCAGGCGAGATTATACTTGCGCGAGATTTCTCACCATGCATCCCGGAGGTCCTGCTTGAGTCTGTCGATCTCGTCTTTCAGCATCTTGGTCTCCTCCTCGAGACGGGTACGCTGCCGGTCATTTTCCTCCTTGTATCTGTTGACTTCCGCGACGGCGGTGTCGGCGCGGGCTTTTTCCTGCTCGGCCAGCTGGCTGCCCAGTTGGTAGAGCAGGGTCGCCTGCTTCAGATATTCTGTCCTGATCGATGACAGCCCTGAGGGGGATAGAGGTTGTCTGTTGTCTCCGTGGTGACTTTGTATTAGTTACATCGCTCACGAGGCCTTCTACCAGTTCGAGGGTTTCTTCTCGCTCGTTCGCAGCGGAGTCGGCTGAGCCTGCGCCTGCGCCAATATTCCCATTTGTTGTCCCATTAACCATTCCTGTCCCTGTCGGGGTTACTATCTGACTCGTTGTCCCTGAGGGTCTCTCAGCCCTCAATGGAGACAGACTGTGGTGTCCTCTCACTCCGTTTGGCGCTGTGGCTGTTACGCTACTGGGACTCACCACAGGGGAAGTTGAATGTCTTGAATTGGTAGGTAGTGCTGGTAGCGGCATAGGAGCGACTGGAGAGACGCTGTTGGTACTCTGAATATGTGCGTCACGTCCAGTGACCTGTCGAGGCGTCTCCGGTCTCCGAGTCAGTTCGGTGCGTGTTTTCTTGATTGCGTTCCCATGTCAACATATATGTGAGAACTACATTATATTAGATCGTCGTTGACTATCCGGACTTACTTTGTTAGGGATCCCTCTCCCCGCGTCGCTAATATCCTCGTCTGGACCGGTGTCATTCTCGTTATCGTTGAAGCTGTTACATGTATTTTCATCGACATTTCTGCTCTGCAACTTTCGTTTATATGGACTGGAATCACCAGTCCTTTTTGCGAGTCTCAGATCTGGGGCCTTCAAAATCACGTTAATTTTTTTTTTGGTTTCATTTATTGGAAAAGCCCAATAGATAGCCCTAACCTTTTCAGCCTGCGGGTTCATCTTCGAATTGCAGATCAACAGCAAATGATTTCACATACCTTCAACACCTTTCTTATCGATGGGAGAGACCTTTCGGGGCAGTATCTCTGTATAGCACAGTTAATCATGTGTGCAACTGGAAGAAGGCAAACATACCTGCCGAAATTCTTCCAAGGGCAGGTGACGATTCTCCATTCTGAGAGCGACTAACCACTCTTTTTCTGCCTCGCCCCAGCGACGACGACGAATGATCGTTTTACGACGGCCGGGTTTGGGTGGCCGAGACTGGATCCTGGCCAGTTGATGAGACGAGTTTGGCAACCTTAGCGTGACCAGATGACCCGGCATTAGCACCGATGCTATCTGCAGGTAAGCGTCAAATGTGGCATTGGCAAGTGAGAAGGACTGCAATGGATTTCGATGGGACTGGCTTTCTGCATGAACATTTCGTATTTCTTTCAGGAAGGCAAGGCCTCCTTAGGGCAATAAATAGACTGCCTGATTTCAGAGACCGCCCGGTACAAGGTCAATGCTTTCATACTGCAATAATGGCAGACATGGATCTCAAGAATGGCACGGACGGTGCCATCTCGTATCGTTCGTAACAAGACATTGCATCCTGCGAAGAAAGAAGCGCGTCGTTAGCGTATTGTGGCAGAGACTAGACAGGGTTCTGAGCCTGCTTAGACCATCTCTGCTAGTCCTTGATCGACTGTAGCGTTAGGTGTTGACCATATGCTTCATCTGCCGAATTCTTCGCGTGACACTGATGATGGCCCTGGCTACCTGAAGAATCAAGCGATACGCTCCTTGCTGGCGAGATGAACAAGCGGGTCAATCTGCATGTGGAAAGCTGAATTTCCGAAGCATGGGATGTTGAAGGAGAGAGATATAGGCCCAAAGATGCGGAACTGCAGACGTCTATTCCGATATCCGCAGGCAGCTACACCCCTGAACAAGGATGAGCCAGCCAGTCTTCAAATCGTCGCTTCTCAGCCAACGGAGAGGAGCCTTCTCTTCTTTTCTTATCGTTTCTTTGCTTTCCTCCTTCTCAACATTCAAAGACCAAGCTAAACCATAATCAGCGTTGGTCTCGATGTTAGATGTCTTGAAAACGCACAAAGTGATAACACTGGACAAATTCTAACAACTTCATCAGAAGAATACAGTTTTGAGTAAATGGCCTATGAGCCCCAGGAGGGAAGTGTTCGCTTCACGATCAATCACCTCTTACTTACATGTACAGGCATGTACTCCGTACAGTACGTTTCACATACAGAGTAGACCAAAAGAGACAAGGCAATGTTCCTACATACTACGATCTAACAGGGGTCAACATCTACACTTTCTCCTGACTGCTGCCCTTAGGCCATCCTTCAGAAGGACCGAAATTCCAACAGACATCCTCTGTACTTATGTTGGTTACACAGGCTGGATATTCATCCATGATAAGGCTGACGCAGACTAAGCAACCCCAACAAATGAAGGGCGTCTATTGCCTCATCTGATTGGGGCGGATCTGATGCTGTTTATTCCGCCCGAGCAGCTAAGAGCAGGATCCTGGACGACATGGAAAAGACGTGCTGTACGGAGTACTCTGTAATGACTGTAGTTATATGCTCTGGAGTAAGGATCGCTTAGCAGATAAGCCTTCCAAGTCGTCCCATTACTCCGTACTGCAGGGTAAGTATTAATGATGTTATTTACTTACTGACACTTTATGGTCTAGTTTGGGCCACCATGAGTCACGACTCGTGGGGGCCATTTGCACTCGTTGTGGTTCAAGGAACCCCTTAAAGCAAGTGCATAGGACTGGCCAGTTGGTGGAATAAAAAAAGCCTTTTGATGTCTCCTCAGATCGCAGAACAGATTGCAAGATACGCCATCCTGGAGGCCTCCAGCGTACCTGGGTTTCCATATGCGCCATGTGCAACAGTCATAGTTGATTTCACCAAGACTGGCACAGTCTACGATCCTTGATTCTAGAGTATTTCCAATTATCAAGAAAAATCCAGTATAGGCAGTGTTGCAATTAATTAGGGCAAGCTGGTAAATTGGCCTACGTTCGGTAACAAATTCTAACTTAACCGTAGAACATTTCCGGCGGGGAAGAAACAGCCGACATCCATCATCCACCCACCTTTTTAGCAGAATCGATTATATGGCTCCACCATCAATTGCTTCTTAATGCCGCGTCCAAGGCTGGAAAATCGTGAGTAAAAAGTCCAAGGAACTAAATTGGTGCTATTCAGTCTTGTTGACATGCTCTGGAGGCTGGTGAGGCCTTATACGTCCTTCCTGGCTTGGTTCTTATGGTTTAGATCCGATATGAATGCCTCTGCTGAATCCTTTCAGTGAAACTTGTCGCTCTCGAAAGGTGAAATGTTCGTCATGACGAGTCATATGCTGCCACTCGATTATAGTTTTGCACTGCCTGTCTTTGTCTATTCTGTGCTTTGTGCCATCTGACTTGGACCCTCTAGGCGATGGTCAAGGTCCTGTGTGCCGGGTCTGTCAGAAGAGCGGCCGTGTCTGCAAAAGAAAGATTCATCTAGGGGTGACATGTCCTGTGGAACTGACTTTGAAGTAGCAAAGAGGTACCTCGAAGCGTGTACCTAGTCGGCTCTAGCCACTGCTGATGCGGATAAGGTCCTCCCCTCTCGCCAAACGGGCATTCGGATCTTCCATCCCCAGAAGATCCCCGCCAGGCGCTCACGCAATCCCGCATATCTTCCATCTTCCGCCATTATGTCAGTGAGCTCGCACCATGGTATGATTTAAACGACGCGCGACGCCGCTTCCAGGATGTGGTCTCGGTCGAAGCCCTACATAATCCTCTGCTCTTTAGCGCGATCCTCGCATTCTCGTCCGTGCATCTCCACAGGTCTTTAGGGTCAAGAGAGTTCTTATACATTGCAGAGTACTACCACTTGGAGAGCATCCGGAGATTGATTGCCATTACAGATCGCAGGAGCCAGATTCACGACGGGGCAACGCTGGCAGCGACGTGTTTACTACGATCGTACGAGATTCTGGCTCGTAAGTAGACATTCTTACGTTCCAGTCAATTCATTTTTCTGATTGTAAAATAGAAAGCGTAGGATCCCAGAGCCATCTCCACGGCTCGTCATCCTTTTTGGCCGGCCAGCAGATTCGGATCGGCCCCGATCTGCTCAGCGCGGGTTTCTGGAACTACCTGCGAGAAGACATCACGGTTGCCTTGATAGAGAAACGTCGGTTGAAGATTGACCTGGAAAACATCTGGATGCAGTACCCTACCGAGGACGATGACCGAGCTAACATGATCAGTCTGCTTCTGGGCAGGACAATCAACAGCTGTTTCGGAACAGGGAACGACGCCCGCGTTCTACCTATCCCGGAGTGGAGATCATTGAGGGAGCAGGTTGATGAATGGAGAAGAGATCTGCCAATCTCGTTTGAACCTATTCACTTCGAGCAGGATCGCAGCACCAACAATTTTCCCGAACTGCTGCATTTTCACGGATGGCACAGTAAGCCCAAGAGGCCATGATCCTCTTCCCCACTGACACTGATGCAAACGTATCATTCAGTTGCCGGGTTGCAGTACTACCATACGCTTCAAATCATTCTTCTTTTAGCCGAGCTGGGCTCTGTTGTGACGGCCGAAGCTGGGTCGTTGAAAATGGGATCCCGAATTATGGCGTTAACTCCTCGCGTGGCTCAGGAGATTGAGCATCACGCGGTGCAGATCTGCGCCTTGGCCATTTCGAACGATTCCAATGCCGCCAGAGTCAACGCCTTTGGGCCTATAGCATTCTGTATGTGCGAGATGGCAGCCAATGACAATGGAGACCTTTTTCATTTTTACTGCTGAAATTGAGTAGTGTACCTGACTAAGTATTCTTCTCCCTCCTAGGTGGAGTATACATCAGGAACCAGCAACAAAGGCGACAACTACTCGACGAACTCCAAAAATGGGAGAAGTTGACTTCATGGCCGGTCGAAAGTATAGTGCGTGTTCTCCAAACAGCTTGGGAGGAAGATGGGGAGGCCGTTCCATGAGTCTTGAGGAGAAATTATAAGAAAACATATCGCACCACCTACCGTCGTCGACGGAAAAAATAGTCGACTGAACACACCGATCCAGATGGAATATGCGTCGATCATGGCTGTATACATTACGACTAACGCAGGCAAGTGGCAAGTTTGGTAATGAATTCGTTCTGTATGCGGATATCCCGTATTCGGGAAAGAGAAAAAAAAAGTTTTGGTTATACATACACACATACATACATCGCAAATCATCGTTATTGCTAGCATAAAACAGGAAAAAACTGCGACTCGTTCCCCTTGAAGAGCCTTCACTTTCGTGAAGTGGGGAGTAATGGAGGAAGAAAAATGAATGGATGAATGCGTCTTACTGTCCTTATAAATAAATAAATAATGCGTTCCCTTGCCGATACACTCATCCGCGAACAAAAATAAAATCAAAGTCCAGCCGAATTTCACTCATCGGAAAAGCCTGCCCAGCAGACCACTGGCGATGTTGCTCGCAATCCCGCCCGAAAGAGCCCTGTTAGCCAAGTTGGACGCCTGGCTGAAACGGTCGCACCGGGAGAAAGCCACGGTGTTGGTGATGGTCAAGACCAATGCGATGGCTAGGAGAAAATTCATCAGCCAACCTAGAGTCCGAATATTCCTTGAGGCTCTATATTGCAAAAACTCACCGACCAAACTCAGCCAGATGATATTCTGCAGTCTGATAACGGCCAGGATGGCCAAGCCAATCCACAGCGCCGGAGTCACGTACAGACCGAGCCAGAAGAATCGCTTGTCAGTGGCGTTGATGGTGCGGGTGTTGGGGTCGGAGCTCTCGAAGACCCAGTGGGAGTCACCCGTTGCGGTGTTGACTTCGTTCCACCAGCGCAGCCCGACGAGTCGGCGACCGGCGATGTTCTTGAGGTAGTAAAAGTCCGCGGAGAGGAGCAGGAGGTTGATGATGAAGACGAGGACGCTGGACGGAGGGGAACATTTCCAGTCAGAGATATATATTATAATACGGAAACTTTGGGTCTTGTAACCGCCCAGCTGCTAACTCACAAATCCTTGATGAAGAGAACGCCAAACAGGTACATCAGGAGACTCCCTAGATTATAGAAACGAAACATGTCAGTCTTGTCGCAATTGGTTCGTTATATTATTAGACAGCAGACGAACCGATCCGAAAGCCCAGGAAGAAGAGCAATGTAATGGGATGGGCGCTAAGGCGCCAATTCAGGTCGCCTGGCTGCGCGTCCATGGCGGAGGGAAAGACAAACAGAAGAAAGAGATGGAGGGTTTTCCTTCAAATCCAGCAAAGCGGGACTTGGTCGTTGGCCTTATCAAGTCGTCCAGATGGTTGTCGAGCGGATTTCATGCAACGCGTGTACAATACCGGGCGGTGAAGAGCGGCAGAATGATGATGGAATGCGTGGATGGTCATGCATTAAATTACTCATTTGGCCAGCAACTACAGACAGCCAGTCGACTACTTGTGAGAGCATGTTAATTGATTTTTGATATGGGAAAACTTGCGAGTATTAATATTTTCACCCTTACCTTCAGTCTGCTACAGCCTACACCACAGCTTCTATGACAGGCAGTTGTCCATGGCAGACCTCCAGCAATGAATGGCGCTGACATGATCACCTCAACTTTATCAGGCATTCCATTTCCAACAGCCTGAAGATCGTTGGATTGCGTTTCCCACTGTGTCTGTCCAGTGTACGGAGTAATACTCCGTAATGGCTATATCTCTCTCCAGCATCGCGGCTAAGGCGACCCGCTTCGGGCCGAGTCCGCTGGCCAATAATTGATACCCGAGAAGGAATATCGATTGACATCAGACACCTTTGATACTCTTCTTTCTCCTGCACTCTCGACATGAGATTCTGCCCATTGCGACCAAGAGAGGAACGAATCAACCAGATCCGCCATGGCAGCTAGAAATACCCTGCGACGGGCCTTGCTCTATGGTAAATCCCAGCTCTTTCAGCTCCCAGCTCTTCCATCCCCGCCTCAGCTTTCCCCGCAATCCTGCTCCGTTCGGAGACAGCCCTAACCAAGATAGCATACATAATGCCCACCCCTTGAAATCACTGCCGGACTAATCGCTGCCATAGTGCCCGGATCATCTCAGAAATTCCTGGACAAATCGCGCTCGCTCGCTGCAGACTGCGTCGCCTATGATCTCGAGGACAGCGTGACTCCGCACAAGAAGGCGGAGGCGCGGCGGCTGGTGCGGAGAGCTCTCGATCAGCCCGCTCCGGCGAGGATCCGAGAGCGCGCTGTCCGCATCAACTCGGTCGAAAGTGGATTGGCGTTGAAAGATTTGACGGAAGTGGTGAGATCTGTCCGATCAATTGTCGCTTTTTTTTTTGCTAACAAAGACAAGCTCCAATCCCCAAACCTGACGACCATCGTCGTCCCCAAAGTCAACTCTGCTTCTGACCTGACGTTCGTCACGGACGTCATTTCCCACACACTCGCAACGCAGGAGAGGAGCAGTAATAATAGCAGCGCTCAAGCGTCGCGACCACCCATCTCGCTCCTCGCCCTGATCGAATCCGCCAAATCCATCACCAACCTCTCGCAGATCTGCTCCTCGACGCCGCTTCTGCAGGGCCTCATCTTCGCCGCCGAGGACTTTGCCCTCGACCTCAGCCTGACGCGCACGCCGTCCCTGACCGAATTCCTTTTCGCCCGCTCCGCCATCGTCACCGCCGCCCGCGCCCACAATCTCCCTTCGACCATCGACCTCGTCTGCACGACGTACAAGTCGACTTCGCCCGACGGCGCGCCGCCCGCCGTGCTGGAGGAGGAGAGCCGCGGCGGGAAGAGACTCGGCTTCAACGGCAAGCAATGCATCCACCCGTCGCAGGTGGAGACGGTGCAGCGCATCTTCAGCCCGGAGCCCGAGGAGGTCGAGTGGGCGGTGCGCGTCGTGATTGCCGACGAGAAAGCCGCCGCCGCGGGCAGGGGCGCCTGGTCGCTCGACGGGAAGATGATCGACGTCCCCGTGGCGGAGAAGGCGAAGGCGATTGTGCGCCGGGTTGAAGCCTGCGGTATTAATGTTGCGGAGCTGCAGGAGAAGTGGAAGGGGCAGGAACCTGAGTAAAACAAGACAAGACCTGTATATGCTTTGTACAGTACAGCACAGTGCGTTGATTGATATTATCTATCAGTAGTGATATCTGATATGTCTATCTATCTAATACTGATATCCAATTGAATTGAATCGAAACTTCTTCTTTCATGACTATTTCTTCGTTTCGTCTCATCTCATCTCTACCGCCTAAGACAGCCAGCCAGGCAGGCACAGACCTATATCATATCATATCATATCATATCATATCATATCATGAATACCTCAGTAGACAAGTCTTTGTATTGCTTCTTTTTCTCTAAACCCAGATAAGAATAGAAAGAAGTGAGAAAGGTGTATATCACAATTCCAAAATTCTTTTCTTATCTCAATTTTTTTTCTCTGTCTTACGCTCTATCTAAGCTTCACTTCACGAAAGCATCGATCAGATAGCATCCATTCCATCACACAGGGCATATTGGCGTCATGTCAAGTTGCTTGCTTGCTTGCTTGCTGGGGGTATCCAGGTCGTAGCTTTCGTTAATGCTTAATGCGTCCGTCAAGTCAAGTCCATCAGTCCGTCAGTCCGTCAGTCAATCAATCAGTCAGTTGAGATCTGAGTTCGTGATGACATGAGCATGAGCGTGAGCGTGCTTGATTCTTTTCTTTTCATTTCTTTTTCTTCTTTTTTTTCTTTGTGGATCGCGTGTTGGTGTTGTGGATGATAACACGAGAATAGATTATCACCAGAGGAAAAAATAAAAGAAAGATCCAAATGAATCAATCATACTCATACCAGCCCTTATTTCGGGTTATGTTATTCAGATTTGGAATGGTTGTTCGGATTTAGATGAATGCTCTCTTCTTTATTGCTCCTTCGCTGCTTCAACGTCTTCCCGTTTGAGAACCTGGATCTTGCCCGTGGAGGCAGGCTGGTTATTACTGGTGCCAGCTGCTTCTCCATCCCCCTCTTGAGCCAGCTTCTTGGCCATAGACTTGTCGTAGCTCGTCGGGTCGATCCCGAGGACACCACCCACATAGCCACCCCGTTCACCCGGCACGCTGAATTCCCGGAAGACATATTTCCACTCATTCAGCCAGGCTTTCACAGCCTTTCCCACCTTGTCCTTGCCATTCTTGGAGTGATGGCCAGTACCCGTGATGGCGTACAGGATCCGATCCTCCTTGGAGTGCTTGCGGAGAATCTTCTCCAAATATTCAACGGCCTCTTCGGGGTGCAGACCATGCAGGTCGACGTACAACTCCTCAGTGGCTTCGTCCAGCCCATTGCTTGCAAGATGCTTATTCCGTTCCTCATACAGGTGTCGCGCAGCTTCGCGGTGGCATTTTCGCATTGCTTCGTTCTCTGCTTGACCACGGAGGGATAGGGCCTTTGCGGCTCGGGCGTCATTGCGATTCCAAGCTTGCGCAGCACTGGACAGATCTGTTAGATATTGTACACTATAAACATCGAGGTATATATCCTGCGGCAGACATTACCTTTGCAAGAACTTGTTCCGGACAGTACCATGGCGGATGGCGTCTGTCCGGTATTTGATGTACTGCTGATTGGCCCTGGGCCCAGTTTCCAGCCATGGGATGTGTTTGGGTGCCGGAATCGCTTGGGCTGCAGCGCTGAGCTCTCGCGTTTTGGCATTTTCTTTCCCATTCTTGGACGACTTGCCTTTACCCGGGGTGGGAGAAGGCGCCATGCGTACCACATCGGCCAGCGAATTGGGACGTTTTCCTTGTTGTTATGACCACCTCGCTTGCCATGATGCTTCTTCCCGGAGCCTTTCGCGGCCGAGAGCGAGGGAAAGGCCTCTGGGTCGTCCACGGACAGCGGAGAGGGGTTCGCTTCTCGCTGCTGGTGTCGGCTAGTTGGTCGAGAATGCGGCCGGCTTCCCCCGTTTCGTCTCCCAACTCCCAAAGGTGGATTGCCCACAGCGGGGTTCGTAATCAGAGCCTGGTTCGGGTACTTGCGAAGGTACGGACTGCTCCACTGGTCTCCGCTTCCCGAAGTGGGTTGCAGAGCTGGAAATGCCTCGTAATTGTTCTCCAACTGGAATCCCTGTTGCTGATTCGAGGAACCCTGATTGTTGTTGCCATCATTGAGATTCATATTTCCGATCAGGGAGGCTGGGTCGTGTGAGAACGGACAGCTATCCCCCGCAAGACAATTGCCACTCAGCCAGTATCTACGAGACTATTGTCAGCGTTGCTAATCCTGTAGAGAGGGAATGGCCAGGGGTTTGGGTAGTGACTAACTTGCAAACATGTGACGTTAAGTCGTGGCTGAAACGACAATCCGCCCGCAGACACTGTCCGGTCGACAGCCAGTACTTGCACACCACGGGGCTGCGAGTGGTCGCTGGAGTCCCTGGTCGAATCTGCTCCATCGTTATCGACTTCCCCACCAGAATCTTGCCTTCTTCTGATTTCTGGCCAGAATTGTTCTTGTTCTTGTTTTCCGAAAGCGCCGCAATGGTGGCTCCTAGGTCATAACTATTTGCTTCCAGAGCGGCATCAATCTCTTCGTTGGATTTCTGGTCCCCTAACACCGATCGGAGGATATCATGCGGGCTCATATCAGGAACGAACTCGGGAGCCGACGCGCTGAGCCCGCCCACGGAGGACGTGACACTCGTAGCGTCATCCCCGACAAGCCAGTCGACATTACTTTCGCTGCCAAAATCGCCGTAGAAATCGGACGACTGGCTCTGATCAGAAAACTCGTAGGCATTCAAACTGGGAGAGTGTGGGATCGGCTGCGCGAAGGCTAAGCGGGGCGATGGGCGCGGCGAGGTGAACGGCGAGGCCGTGGAGGAGAGGGGAGCGCGTGGCAGCCCAGCGCGAGGGTGATGAAGGCCAGAGGGCCCTGCAGGACTCGTGCCCGTCTGAGAGGGCGAGGAGAGCGGAGTTGCTGAACGGGCAATCTGCCATGGAGCTGGAGACGAGCGTCGGATTACCGTATGGCGACTGGGAGGAGGGGAAGCGTCAGGCTGGCCATCGTTGCGTTTACGCCAGAGGATGTCGAGAACGGCGTTCTCCAGGGCAGAGCCTGATAGCGAGGCCTTTTCTCGCAGCAGCTCTTCGACCTTCTCGATCTGTTCCTCCTCATCTAGGCTGGAGTCCCGCAGCACCGGGAGACAGGCTTCAAAGAGTTCTTCGGAGACCATGCTGAGAGGGCGACAACAGTCGAGGTAAGAACGGTGACGAAGGAAAAGGAAAGAGACAAAGACAAAGAAGAAGATAATATCGACAAGAAGATCAGAAACAGCCCATGGGCTTCGTCATGGAGCAGAAATGGGTGTGGGCGAGAAAGAGCGTGGTTTTGCAGTATGCGGCGGGGACGTTTACAGGGGTGACGCGGAGGGACCCAGGAAGCGCATCCAGCTGGGGTCACATCGTACACCACGCCGTCACTGAAAGACCAGAGAACAAAGAACACAACTCGAACGGATGAAAGAGAGGAACGGCGATCAGGATAGGCTGATGGCAGCCAGGATGATGGGAGAAGGGCTGTGGGGGATTGTTTGCAGAAGGCCGGGGAGGACGACACGGGATGCTGGCTGTTATTACGGGCGATAACTACCTAGATAAATTGGGATGCTAAATAATTCCTGACGGGCTTTCCCTTCTGAGTTCAGGCGGTCCGCCCTGGCTCTGCCGCCACGACCCAAACAATCATGATGCATCACTATCATTACTCAGTCCCATCGACTTGGATTCTTGGCCTCTTCCCCCAGGCTGCATCTTGTCTAATCCTTCGTGCCTGACAGCACCGATCGGACTCCAGGCCGTCCATGCGTCCTGCGTCTGGACATAACCGGAGATACCTCTCTGCCTGGGGAGACGATGTGGGGAGCTGATCCTGGCTCCAATGGCACCAACATGCAGACGTGGCGGTGCGTCGGTCCCTCCCTGCGACTGGCCTTGCCAAATCGCCTGTTCCAGGCCTGGATACAGACTCCCAGCCATCCGTTACGAGATGAGCACGCTGCTGCTTGTGGCGGACATCAGCATCGAGACGCTGCCAGCAGATTGCATCTAGAGCGTCATTAGCCAGAAGAAATGGAGGGTTGGAGGGCTGCTCAGTTGTTGATAGGAGAATGCCCCAAATGACGTGTTGCTCTGCGACTGTTGTTTTGGTGGTAAGGGTAATACCGGTAATTCCCGCTCAAAAGAGGCTCCAAACCTCCCCCGTTACAGTACGTGACGTGAAAGCTGGAGCCTGGACAGACCCGCGACAGCTCTGCTGGTGCTGTCAACACCATGACTTCTTTACTCCCTCACGAGAGTCTCCTTAACCTACTGTATTGCTTTCGTTATTGATATTGATGCTGTTGTCTGCGTGAATAGGCTGCTGGTATAAAGTTGAGTCTGCTCCTATTGCCGGCTGCTGCTTGCAGACTGCTCTCCACAGCCACAACACACTCCCATGTCCCGCGGCGCTCGCGAGGGCAAACAATCAGCCCTCGGTGGGAAACCTACACGCTGAGATCTTCTGACGAATGTTGTCGAGCCTGAGAATTTAGTTGATTCGTTTCTCCCCTCTTCCTCGTCGGGCTCTTCGTTTTCTGGCTTCGCTGCTCTCGACCGGTTGCGATGCCTGCCGATTACGAGTCCACTGCGCGAGCATTGTCTCTCCCCGTCACATCGCCCGAAGAGTCGGATTCCCCATTATTTGCCAGTATCCGTCCACAATGGAGCCATTCTTCCATTGGCAGACGGGGCTCCCTGCCCATCTCTGTCCGGGAGGCAGCGACCTTCCGAGACCAAATCATTAACCAAGCACAGTCGTCCTGGCGCGCCTTAAGGAAGCGCTGGGAGAAGATGACACTGGGGCAGAAGGCATTGGCCGTGTTTGCTTTTATGCTCAGCGCTGCCCTGGGTGTGGGGTTCATGATCTTTACTGGTAAAATCTTCGTCTGGCTGGGACCTGTGGCCGAGAAGTGGGAGCATGCACCGCTGGCTTACATTCTCCTGTGGCTGGGCGTCTTCACGGTGTCCTTTCCTCCATTGGTGGGCTGGTCGACACTTGGGACGATAATGGGATTTGTCTTTGGTTTTTGGAAGGGGTGCGTGACAACTTCCATATGATGAAGGGGAAAATGTCCATTGACCTGACTATTTTCTTGTAGATGGATTGTTTATACGACTGCTACCGTCGTGGGCTCGACTTGCGCCTTCATTGTCTCGCGAACCGTCCTCTCCAAGTTTGTCCACCGGCTGATGGAGCATGACAAGCGTTTCGCCGCCCTGGCGTTGACGCTCAAGTATGACGGCCTCAAGCTCCTTTGTATGATTCGGCTCTGTCCGTTACCGTACTCTATTTGCAACGGCGCCATTTCTACTTTTCCTACCGTTCATCCCCTGCGGTATGGCCTGGCCACGGCCATTATAAGCCCGAAGCTGATGGTCCCGGCTTTCATTGGGAGTCGACTACGTATCTTGTCGGGCAACAACGAAGAGATGAGCGCGGGCTCCAAAGCGGTCAACATCATCAGCATTATCGTATCTATCTGCATTGGCGTCGGCACGGGTATATATATCTACCGGAGGTTAGTTAAATTATCCTAACAAGAGTCAGATGGTGCCAGACCAGAATATCTCAAGTCCCCACCTGTTTTGAACTCATTGTTGACACACCCGCCTAGAACCCTAGCTCGCGCCAAGCAGCTCGAGGCCGAGGAGCGCGCTGGTATTCGACAATCGCTGCACGACGATCACGCCGCACACCGTCCACATCCTGCCTTCTCAGATGATCCCGAGGCCAACGTCGCTGCGGCGCCACTAGCGCGGGATGAGGAGCACATGGATTTTCACGACGATATTGATGAAGATAACGTCGACATAGTCGTTGATGGGGATGATGACAACGTCAGCAATGGGGATGCTACTTCAGGAAAACCATATAAGGATAACACCGTATCATATCGTGACGAATTCACGGATAACGACTCGGATATCTTTCGCGACGGCGATGGTACCAACACGGAAACATATGGACTGCATACCCATGTGCGTGCAGCTTAATCGGATCCGATTCTTCCGATAAAGAGTGTTCTTTTATTTCCGTGTATTATGAGTTATGCTATATGGCATTAATTGGCTGTATGCGTGGGTTGGTTTAACGATAGATTATGCTTGTTGCTACTGTATGCTAGGGTCTCGGTAACCTTACTCAACGGAATGAAATAGATGACTTGGCTGAGATATCCTCTTTTTTTTCCCTCCTCCCTTGCATCCAATGCTAAGGAAAGACATGACACAATGGCAGGAATGTCTATCTGCATGCACATTAATCACGATTCAAGGTCGTAATAAAAGCCAAACTAAATCAAAATTTTATGTCGCTTTGAAAAAGGAAAAAAAAGTAATGCACAGATCGTCGTAGTTGACTTTTTGACGTTATGTATGTCAGTCAGTCAACAGCGTAAGCATGACCATCATCTATGGGAAGATTTGGTTACAATATATCATTCATTCTCATAATCGTGATCTCTTCTTGCCCTTTTTGCCTCCATGTTTATGCTTATGACCTCCGCCTCCGCCTCCGGAGCCGGATATACTCGTGAGCTTGGAGAGACGGATTTCCTTCTGCGGCTCTTTCTTGTGTTCCTTTTTGCTCTTCTTAGCTTCCTTCTTCTCTAATTTGGCCTTGGCCTTTTTGATGATTAAGTCGGTTTCGCTGAGCTCGTCATCGTCCTCGTCCTCCTCGTCATCGTCGTCGTCTTCGGAGTCAGAGTCGGAGGTGGAATCGTCTTCTGCGTGCTGTTTCTATTGAGTAGTTTCGTGTTAGAAAATAGAAAAAAAGAAAGAAGAAAAAGAGAAGTTAAAAAAAAACTGATCAAGAGCTAACCTCATTTTGCTTCTTTCTTTTGAAGTTTCCATAGCTTCTTCGACCTCCGTACACCATATCCTCATCATCTGCGTCCAAAGACCCCGCAGGCACAATCAGAGGCTGTCCAGGATACGCTGATAATACAGATCCTGCCTCGTAATAACCCGCAGGAGCAGTCTTGCTGCCTTCCGCACCAGGAAAATCAAGCACCCATTCCGTTTCACCGGCTTCAGCAGCCTGACGCGCCACTGCCTCGGCCCGTTTCTGTTCCTCCGCCGCAATAGCAGCCGATATCGCCTGCAGGTCTGAACTGGGAGTCGCTGGACTGCTGGTCGCAGACAAGCGCGGTCGCTTGGGAGATGGAGTGTCAGGGTCCTCCACTGAGGGTGATTGGGTTCCTGAAGGCGTATTTGCGGCTGCTGCTGCAGCAGCACGTTGCATAAACTAACACATTTATATCAGCATGAAAATTTCCAAAAAATATGCGTTAATTGTATGTTACCTTCATGGTCAGAAGCCGGGAAGACATAGTCTTCGCCGGCTTCGCGCCCGACGTCGACGCGTCGGGCATTGTTTGCTGAGAGAAACTTGAATGCTCTACAACGTAACCATCTCGCGCTTCGAGACCTGTCAAGACCCGGCTTGATTTAACTGCTGGTCTGTCTCTTCGCTGTCGCGCTGAGACGTGTGTCGTTGGTCAAGTTGATGGATTTGATTTTGGAAGGCGGACACGATTTCGCCGCAAAAAAGGCGGGAAAGCAAATGCCAGCTAGCCGATTGGCTCGACCGCCGCCCGACCCCCCGGCCAGCTCCATCCTCAAACCTCAACTCTCCATCCGATCCGCTCGTTTAACCTCATCATAGCATCATCGCCACTCTCTCACCCCCCAGCACACGCTGCTCCTCGCGACCATGATGCTCTCCTCCGCCAGGAGCCGGATCACCGCCCTGTCGGCGCGGTCTTCGCGCCTGGCGTCGCGGGCCGGCTACTCCGTGAGCGCCCCTCGCTGGAGCGAGAACCCCGTCGCGGTCAACGACCCCACGCCGAAGAAGCCTACTTCCAGCATCTCCCCGAGCAATGCCATTCCTTCCGACCCGATGGATGCTTGGAGTAAACCCCTCCAGGAGGACCCCGAAGTGGGAGAGCGCCTCCGCCAGCTCCAGGCCCCGAACCGGGCGACGACCTGGGCCAAGAGCCAGCAGCCGAGAGAGCTGGCCATGACGGGCCCTCGCTTTGAGCAGACGATTATGGAGTATCAGGTTAGTATTTTTTTTGCAAGTGTATACTCCAATTGCTTGAGAAGGGAAGGTGTTGGTGGAAGGAAAGAGACGTGCTGGAGGAGTATATTGGCAATTCAGCAAGATATTCGGCGTTTTCTAGATCAATTGAATACGGCTAACATTGTTGGAATAGCCCCGACCATACGCTGCGATCGAGTTGATTCACAAACAACCCGTGCGGTGGCAGAAGGAGCGAGTTGTTGCCTGTGATGGCGGTGGTGGTCCATTGGGCCACCCCAAGATCTTCATCAACGTCGACAAGCCTCAGATTGTCTACTGCACATACTGCGGCCTTCCATATGTAAGCCTCTCTTTCAAAATGCGTCACATTCTTTACATTTGTCACCGGCTAACGGCGACTGTCCAGGCCCACGAGCAGCACCGCGAGTACCTCAAGTCCTTGCCGTCTACGAGCTACCCACTCGAGCCTACTGACGAAGCGGCCGAGGAGACGCAGCGACTCACAGAAGGAGCAGCTGAGAAAAGATAAACGATTCGAATAGCATACATATATCAGGTCCTGACATCGACCTCTGCTTTTCCTTTGTCTGTGGCGTTGACGATCTCATTTTTGTTTCTTTTTCCCCTTTTGTTTGGTACCCTTCGGATGGCTCCATCGCGTATATGTATGTACATTTTATCCGAAGAGAAATCACAAAGATAGACGGAGACCCCGGAACCGCCAGGTCGACGCTTTAGATTAGCGACTCTATAGTGCGACAAATCGACTCGCATTGTACTGTATCAATCGAAGGAAAAAAGGGCCGAAATAGAAGCCTGTCTCGTCTAAGTAACCGTACGTATTATAGTTTATGCTCATGATCGCTGTTGATATCTAGTCACGCCTTCTCGCCCTGGATGGTGGCCACGACTCTCCTCGTGTGCCTACTGGCGCGGAACTCGAGATACCAGATCCCCTGCCAGGTGCCCGTAGCCAGACGGCCATTAGAGATGGGGATAGTGACAGAGGCGCCGATGAGGGCAGACTTGATATGTGCCTAACCCAACAACGAACAATGATTAGCTAAAAAAAAATCCCCAATTCCAAAAAGTGATTTCCAGAAAAGTAATGTTCTTGTTTCTTACAGGCATATCATCCTCCCCCTCGGCACTATGCCGATAAAGATTCCCCTTCCGGTCCACGGGCACAATGCGGTCCAGCGCATCGCTCATGTCCTCGCGCACATCCTCGTCCCAGTTCTCGTTCAGCGACAGCGCGCAGCTCGTGTGCTGGATGAACAGGTGCAGCAGGCCGACCTTGTAGTTTTTGATCTCGGGCAGTTCGTTCAGCACGTAGTCTGTGATTAGGTACGAGCCGCGCGAGCGCGGGGGAAGGGTGAATTGTTTCTGGAACCAGGATGTCATTGTCGTTGCTGTCGGCGGCGGCGGAGTCGTTAGCGTTATTGCTGCTGCTGTTGTTGTAGTCGTTGAAGGAGGAGAAGGAGAATGAGGAGTTGTAGTTGTGGTAGTGCTCGGAGCGGGGTGATTATTTCTGATCGGGCTTATCACACCGGTGACGAAGTTCAAGATCGGAAAGAAGTAAGCAGAGAGGATAGGGATGAGGAAGATTTCCAGGACAAGAATAAGAAGATTTTTGCGAGTAATAAGAAAAGGCATGCAATGTAATAATCGAAATGCGCCGAAAAGAAAGTTGCTGGTTTTGTCAATCAATTGACTTTCTCTTTCTCCATGGTGGGGAAGAGGAAGACCTCCATCGACGTCATTGCTTATTTTTATTTCTCTTTTCCCCTCCCGACGCGAGATTATTTTTATCACGATTCGCAGCATTTGGTCGATCTGCTTACAGTACCTTTCGCATGCCTACTGTGAATCCTTACGTGATTTTTAATAGAATAATAACACGACAGACAGAGCCTCGTTTGGTGTTTGTTCGAATCGATCTAAATTACTGGATATTGTTTTTTTTTTTGCCCACCATTTTCCTTCCATTCTGACATATTTTTTTTTCCCACCGGAGTCTCCTTTTGTCTTTTCTTTTTTTTAACGTAATAATAATAGTACAGGAAATAAAAAAGAGATGCAGATACAGATGCAGACGTATTTCGAGGCCGTGACTCATTCGTAAGGACAAAATTTCCATCCCTTGGGTATTTATTCTTGGAAAAATGAATGCTCGTCCGGACTCCAGTACGAAATGAAAAGGAAATGGTGTACAAACAAGAAAAGACAGCCGAAATGGGGATAATTGAAGAAACAAACGAGGGGATGTTCAGGGGGTATTCGCGAGTTAGGAAAAGTCTGACCCTCGAGAGCTCATGTTGAATTCGGGAGAAGGGAAAAAAAGGTGGTGATAGGGAATCATAACGAAAGCTTTGCTGCTCAGAGAAAGTATCTGAAGACGTGTCTGGTGAGGAAAGGGAACTCGATGAGAAAATAAGGGCAGGAGAATGATATGTGGACACGAAAGACGATGTCGACCGGAGAAATCCTTAGAAGCAGCGTAAGGGTCCAATCCGGAAAAGGAATTTGTCGACAGAAGACAAAGAAGTTTTTATCGTGGCGCGAACGACCGCAGATGGGACAAGTTCAAAGATAGTAAGTACCCGTCAACATGTCTTCTCCTGAATACTTATTTCTTGCTGACCTAGAGTCCCTTCTCCAGATTGCGCAGCAGACTACCTTCGGCAAACTCGCTTTTCGGCGTCATATCAAGCAACGGTTTGCTCGCATTCCGGTCACCGGTGGCGACCCCACGGCCAATCCCTGTGGTCGAGGATGATGTAGCCGGTTGCATCGAGCGGGCCAAAAGGCTGCTAGGCGTGAACGGATTTTCAGGACTCACAGGAGAGCTCAGGTCACTGACCAGATTATTCTGCGGCATCTGGTGCTGGCTGCGGGCCGAGTTCGCGCGATGACGAGCGGATGATGCCTCTCTGGCCGTTGCGGGCCTGCTCTGTGCTTCTGGCCGTCTCCAGGTCGTCGCAGGGGGTATGGCAACCGCACCGGGCGCAAGCTCAGGTCCAGTGGCAGCCTCGACAAGAGGCACACCCGGCGCGACCTTTACCCCATGACCCTTACGGGAATGCTGCGGCGGCTCGCGGAAGACAGGCGTCAGGTCCACAAGCGGCTTGGGTTGCTGACGGTTGGAATTCGACCGTCCACGCTTGTCGAATTCTGGGGGGTNAATTGAGCGCATTGTATTTGATCGACTGGCTTGACTGGGTTGGCGGCTCGGAGGATTACTGATAGGGTTATTTGCCGACGATGGAGAGGTTGGTGAACCCAAGTTCTTTAGCAGACCGGAAAACACTGGCTCCTCGCTTGAATTTTCTCTCGCCAACTTTGCTTCCCTCTCGCGCTGAGCCTCCTTTCGCAGACTATAGGTCCTGCCCAGAAGCCCTGTTGGGGAAAATGTCTCTGAGTCGTCATCTCTGGGGCAAGTAGTCTTGCCATATCCGGCACTCTGTTGATCATCTTCCGTGTCAGCAGCAAGTGACATCGGAAATGATGAAGGAGGAGGCGCATGGGTACGAGTCTGCTTCTTGCGGAGGTACATCTCTTGAGTTGTACTCGGTTGGCCGGCCTTTTTATTGGAAGACGTGTCTTCATTCCGTCCAACTGAATCAATGTCAAGCAGCGGAGTGAATGATCCTAGCTGATACGGTGTCGACTCGCAACTATTTCGCTTACGGCGTGAAGCTGAGCGAGACAAGTCTCCAGATTTGGATGAATTGGAAGAGTCGTTCTGCTTCTGACCTTCTCCGAGAATATTGACCAAATACCAACTCCGCCAACCGTGGACGGCATCGTACCAATTTTGGGCCAGTTCAGCGTCGCTGGTGGCAAAGAAATGGACAAAGTTCTCGGTAGAGATGAACATAGATGACTTTTGTTGGCTCTTGATTGCGAAGCACAGCTTCTTCGGTGGCTTCAGCTTCTTCGTCTCGCGGTGTGTGGGGGAGTAGATATCAAAGTCCGATAGATGGCAGATGTTCGTCGCCTCTTGACCATCCGGCTTCTTGGACACAGAAACTTGGCCGTCAGAACGCAGAGTAACATATCGTTTGTCCCATTTCCCAGGCTTCTGGGAGTGGTACAGGTGGAATGTAGCATCCTTGGGCTGCTCGCGCGGGGCGGCTTCGACTTCTAGTCTCTCACCTGCACCATCATAGGATGGAGGTGTAATGATCAAGGAGTTCTGGGTATCAGTGGCCCATGAGTTCATGACGTCTCGTACGTGCTCATATCTTCGTAACGGCCGTTCAAGGCCGAGTAGAGAAAAAGACTCCAGGAGAATTGCCGTGTTAGGGTCAATGTCTGGCTCTGACAGGCAATTCAATGCTGAGAAAATGATGTCTCTGGCACGCGTGGTAGGGGTTACTGGTAGGTTGATCGACGACGCATTGCATTTCACCAAGACTCTTCTCTCGCCAGAATTAACAGCAGAAATGGGAGCATCGATGCCTGGGCCAAATCCACCACCAGGCTCCTTCGTGGCATCCTTCTTCGAAGTGTCATGGGGCTGACGTCCGTCCGCATGAGTCTTGGGGCGCGAGAAGCCTAGTTTCTCTTTCCAGGAAAGACGTTTTTGTTCTGTGTTTTCCTGTGGTGGTTGCCTTTCTTCACGTCTCTTCTCTGGGGGTCTCTGAGGATGATGCTGGGGCTCTCGTGACCTGGAAGAATCCCGAGCACGTGCTGTCTGTGGCCTGCCTGCCCCCGTCAACCGTTCCATGGCTTCTTGCCTCATCCTCTCCTTCTCTTGAGCTGACAACTCACGCTCGTCATCATCATCGACAACCTGTCTCGATGGCACGGCATCTTCTTTCCTCAGGTTCCTTTCAGCTAGGTTCAGCTTTTCCAATTTCTCTTGAGCTTCAGCTTGTTGTGGCGTCACCTGAGGGAAGCCATGATCTGGCATCGGAGGCGACGTCACCGGCTGGGGCTGCTTGGGGGGAATGGAGGTAGGCACACTTGGCACAGGGGCCTGAGTAGTTGCAGCCTGCCTAGCACGGCGATATCTAGACATACTTCTTGCAATTGTTTCACTTTTTGGTTTTGCTGCAACATCATTCTGCTGCGTGTTAGGCAGAGCAGGAGCAGGCGAGGAGACTGGGGCCTCGGCGTGAGCCTGAGCTTTTGCAGCAGCCTGTCTAACAGATCGATATCGTGAGAACTTAGGCGGTGCCTGAGCAGGCGCAGCTGACGGGGTACTTGGAGTATCCGTCGCAGGCTCCATGGTGGTCATCATGGTGTGTTAGGAGTCAAGGTTCAGAGATGAAAGTCTGCGTGCAGCGCATATAAGCTTGATCCCAGCAATGACCTCCAGAAACACAGTCACTAGTGCACGCCAAATATCACATGGGCGCCCTTTCAATTTTTAGTCATCACGACCAGGCTGCGCTAGATGGTCACCCATGTGGTTGCGTGAATTGAAGGTCGCTGGAAAGCTTGCGCGATGGGTGAAGAAACAACTGCGCAGTGAAGAGGAGAGGAGGAAATTCACGGTCTAGCTCCCACCCAAATTGGAATGCGACAACCTGGTTCTGAATGCCTAACTCCAGTCCCTTGAACAAGCAATTAAGTCCCCCCCAAAATTGAAATTGAGATACAGGGAACAAATCGCGATGTCAGTGCTGTTCAGCGCCTCTCCTTCGACTCTTTAAACAAGGATGTTCTGCTGATTCCGAAGTTTGCGATGCGCTGCAGTCTTTTCTGCAGTGCCCCCCTAGTCCGGGATCGCCGGTGATAGGTCATGAACTGTACAGAGTAGATTAATCAGAAATTAGGTTGCAGGGAGCACGCGACAGTTAGGAGCAACGCTCTGAAGAGGTCGACCATATTCTGGTTGTCCTTTCAATTGCATTCAAATGGAAAAACAAGAGGCGCATGCCCTTAACCCCCTGAATCGCAAAAGTGTGTGCAACTAAGACAGGATGTCACTTGCGCAACACCATAAGCGCATGAAATTATTCTTATTATTTGTAGGGACGCATGCGCACAGACAGACCCGGCTTGGCTGCTACACAGAGAAGCAGAGAGCCAGAGCAAGACTGCAAGTAAGAGAGAGAGGGAGAGAGGGCAAGGGAAATAAAAGCTCCTAAACTAATAATAGGGCCCCCATCCATAACTAACTTCATACTGGTGCGCATTTATTTTAAATTGGGGGGATTTTTTTTCTCTTCAGAGGGAAAGGCGCCCCCTTCGCGGCGGCTTCTCCAATTGGGGGTTGAGCTCCACAGTCCTAATCTTGATTTCCCAGGAACAGGACATTAATCGGGGACATTCATTACATTGGTACGTCATGGCGATCGACAACTAAGATCTGCAGGATGCGTACTTCTTTATATTTATTTATATAGTAACATGATGATAATCTCCTTTACCAGATTCGAATAAATGCAATATCAGATTCCCCTTCTCAGACCTCCCCAGTTGAACAAAGTTGTTAGGTTTTTAGGTCATCCACTCCCGTGAATAATCTAATTAATTAATTAGCCCCGGGCACCCACCATACCTGCTTGGGTAGGTTAGGCACTAAAAAAAAAACGCGGGTAGAAATGTCGGGTCCCCACATTGTTTGTTGGTCCCAATTTATGGAGTAAGTAGAATGATAATTGAGTGAGTGCATGCTGCATGCCTTCTTTCCTTGCAGGTGCGGTGTGCTGTAAGGGCTGCAATAAGCTTGAAGATCTCGCATACCCTGTGGAATATGTGTAGATCACGAGGTGCATATCCTTTTTTAAACCCTTCTTCGGTATTAATGTGTATTGTTAATTGTTAACTTATACCTTCTTTTTTTCGGCATTTTCTTTCTTTGTCTGGAAGAGTCGACTGGCTTGATGGGATTATTCTCTCCTCTTTGTTTGCTTCTTCAGAGATCTTCAGCCAAAAAAGTGAGTTAGGATTAACTAGCACGACTCCACATCTACAATGCCAAAAATGACACGTCTATCTCGGAAAGAAGTTTCAACTGTCCACGTCAGTGATGTGATGCTGTGTGCTCGCTAGCCTAGGCAACCTGTTGCCAAATTGAAATGTATCTCTCGATTTTGGTTCCCTTGATATTCAGATCAGTAGATTTGAAATGGCATATATACACATTGTAGGAATTATCTGTCTGGTCCTTTTCACTTCTTGTAAGCACCCAGGTAGAATCTCCTATACAGCCAACGACATCAGCATGCACAAGTCAAACAGGACCGGCAGGGCTTATGACTATGGACTCACCACCAAGTCTCAAAGTTCTGCGTCTGGATATTGATCCCTAGATCCTGCAGCTCCTTCGTTGATAACTTCGTATTGAAAGGTCGCTTGACTGGCGAATTGGGGTCGTTCCCCTCCTGGTTCCGGATCATTCCGGGAATCGGCACCGCCAGGATCTGGGCGAATTTCTCGCAGATTTCGTACTTGGTCATTCGATCCTCGGACGAGAACTGCAGGATCTTGGGCAGCGACTTGATCTGGTCCTTTTGCCGGATGTACCGCACCGCGATGTCGTTGCACACCCTGCCTACGTCCTCCGTGTTCGTCGGGTACCGCTGTGCCCAGTCGTCCACCTTCACGCCGGCATTGGGGTCCCGCGCCTTCTCGACGGCGTCCAGCAGCACGTTCACGGCGCTCTCGCTGTTCTTCTCTGCAGGGCCGTAGAGGAGTGGCACGCGAAGAACAACCCCGAGGCCGCTGTCGCGCGTCGCTTCGAGGGTGGCGATCTCGCCGTCGCGCTTCATCTCGCCGTATCGGTTCGTGGGCCCAGTTGGTGCGGACGCTTCGTACGGTGCTTCGCCTTCGACGCCCGGGAAGACGTAGTCGGTCGAGATGTAGATGAGAAGAGCACCTCGCGAAGAGGTTTCCTCTGTGAGGACACGGGTAGCTTCGACATTGATCCGTTGTGCTTGTTCGGGGTTTTTCTCGCACGCATCAGGAGAGCGGTTTGCAGCGCCTGTAATATAGCAGATTCAATATCGAGTTCAGTTCGCTGACACAAACTCACTCGAATGCGGATTTGGATACGTACAATGGACTACTACCTGCGGCCTATGCTTGTCCTTGTCAGCGTGGATCCAATCTGTGTCTCTGGAACAAAACTTGGAAACAAAATGACAATGACAAAAGGTCAACTCACTTCACCTCATCCAGCAGCTTCTTAATCTCGTCTGGCTCCTCCAAATTCGCCTTCAAGATCGTCGGCGGCGCTGCTCTCGTGAATCCCTGCCCGACCGTCAACCAACCAGCACGTTTGAAAGCTTTCAGTACCTCCCTGCCGAGGAGGCCTGTTGCGCCAGTGATCAGAGCTGTCTGAGACATGATTATTCTTTTTTTTTGTAACTCGAGCAAGCAATTGCGTAGTTACTAGTTAGTCTTTTTTTTGTAGCCCTTGAAGAGAAGGAGAATCGTGGCGTCTAGGGATGAGGTCTCGATCCCCGCGGCGGGGGAGCTTTAAATATAGCAGAGCTAAATCGAGCTCTCGAGCGGGATGACGTTAACCAGAACCCACTGGGGAAGCTGCTCCGCAGTCCGACTCCGTACAACGAACGGATCTTGACGATGCTCTCAGGTACAGTGAGATAAGCAGAATGGATAAAACGCCAAAAAAATAAAAACATACAACAGCCAGGATTCGCTGGTGGTCACCCACCCAACTACCAACTGGCCAACGAACTTTTTGCCAGAAAAGCAAGCGTTCAGCGCGCCAAAGCCTCCTCATCCCTATGTCCCAGGGCAAGAATTCCGCGCTTTCTCCTATGTACCCCCGCCTCCAATTTATAATCGCTCTTGGACCGCTAAGACTATGAGGGAACGAGAAAGTGTAGATCCTGTGGAGCGTGGCATAAGGAACCCTCCAGCGCCCGGACAGACAGGAACAGATCCAATTCACTTCAAGATCATCGACTCAATCCACACAGGAGATAAGCATGCTGCTCAGCTTGTTACTGTTCAAATCCTCGACCTTCCAGAGAGTATATCAACCATACCATCGCTGTCCACGACCCTCTCTATCATGATCATACAGATGAGGATGCTGCGGATCCTTTCCTCATATGCCAACGAGGTTGCCGCCTATGAAATGCTCCAGCCCCTGCAAGGGACGATGATACAAAGTTCTATGGTTCATTCACCCTCGAACTTCCAATTCCTGACAGAGTCGAAACTCGCTCTGTCCGACTCATCCTTATACAACTGTTGCCAGGCATTTCCATGAACGCATTGAATCCTGCAGACTTCTCACAAGAAACACGCCAGGCTATCATGAAGGCGGTCGTCGACATAGAATCCTTGATGTATACCTACAATGTTTTTCATTGTGATACCCATCCACGGAACGTGATGGTCCTGCAGGATAATAATAATCCTCCTGGGTCGCTTCATGTCAAGTTCGTCGATTTTGGGAACTCTCGTCATCGGGTTCCTTACTGGGAACCCTGGTGTACCGGCGCCCGTGCAGAACGATTTCTCCCAGGAGTGCCTATATCTCCTCTACTTCGCTGGGACCAAAGAAGGCACCTCCCGGATGAATTCCGCAACTGGATTGATTGGGACTGGACTCTTGGCTGGATCGGGAGTATGGATCGACAAAGGATTCCATAACCAATAATATGATCAAGATTTGGGGGCATTGACCAGTTTGTTGTTTTGCTTGGAATTCCACTTTTGTAACGATACCTCAGGTACAGAATTGCAAGTTTATGGGGACAGAATTAAGACAGAAAAAAAAGTCTGCATCAAATTATTAGCAGAAAAGCCTTGGTTGCTACCAAACCCCACTTATGCTTTGACGCACAGGGTGTTGTTTACTACGTTTACTACGACAGAGGTCAATGTACTGGCCTGGCCAGGCCAATGCAGTTCAAATGTGGTAGCAGGAAGACCATTATACGCAGTGTGCCACCTTCTTCATGGGCAGAGGTAGACAGTCCTCATATAGTTATAGTATTTGTGCACGGATTACAATTCTACCAGGTATCAACTTCGTGGATAATGATGTTTCTATACAATAGCATAAATTACAATCCTCAGGTACACCGCCAAGTGTAGGTGAGAATGAGCTCTCTAAATGTATTTATACGGGTTCATAATTCCATTCTGCGTCAAAGACAGGTCAGAATTTCTGTCCTTACGATCCCGAGGAGGGGGGGGGGGTGGGAAGGAAAATACTTACCGGATCATACAACTTCTTCAACTGGGACATGAGCTTCACCATCGTGTCGTTCTGGCTGTATCCGATAAACTCCTTCTTGGCAATCCCCAGCCCGTGCTCGGCGCTGATACTGCCGTTGCGTTTGGCAATCCACTCGTATACCCAGGGCTCGATCGCCTTCTCCACCTCCTTGTTGTACTGTCGCACCGAAACGTTCAGGTGTAGGTTCGAGTCGCCCATGTGACCGTATCCCACGACCGCTCGCACCGGGAAGGAATCGTCATCACCGACAAAGCCGCGCTCGGTGAGTCGTGCCCGGCAGTCTTCGACCAGCTGATACAGCTCCGGCAGCGGGATCGAAACGTCGTACTTGTACGTGCCGCCCAGGTGGCTCAGGGCCTCCGTGATGCCTTCGCGCCAGCGCCAGAGCGACTGGATCTGGGTCTCGTCCTGGGCGAGAACACCATCCGCAACAATACCTTCGCTCATGACATGTTCCAGGAAGCCCTCAAGCTTCGCAATGTCGTGCTCTGCATTGGACCCGCTGGTCTCAATCAGGCAGTAGAACGGATAGTCTCCTTCCAGGGGCCGTTTGTTGCCAGTGCTCTGATGAACCAATCTCTGGCTCTTCCCATCCATCAACTCAAAGGCAGACAAAATCTCCGACAGGTGGCCCTTTGCTTCCTTGTAAGCCCTCCGGACCTGGTCAAAGCTCTCCAGACCGAAGTACGCAACATTAACGGCCTTGGGCCGAGGCGGGCAGAGGATCGAGACGGCCGTGACGATGCCAATGGTGCCCTCCGCGCCAATGAACAGCTGCTTGAGATCGTAGCCGGTGTTGTTCTTACGCAGCGTCGACAAGCTGTCGACAATGGTGCCATCCGGCAGCACGGCTTCCAGACCCAGGACATTGCCGTGGAGACTTCCATAACGCAGGAGACGCAGTCCTCCGGCGTTGGTCGAGACATTGCCTCCGATGTGGCAGGATCCCTTGGCACCCAGATCCAAGGGGAACAGGTGGCCGCGCTCCGCGAGATACTGGTCTGCAACCTCGAGAATCACACCCGCATCCGCAACGAGGACACCAGACTCCTCGTCGAAGGAACGAATGTTGTTCATCCGCGACGTGTTGATCACAATCTCATCAAAGACCGGCACGGAACCGCCCACCAGCCCGGTATTTCCGCCCTGCGGCACTACCGCCAGCTTGTGGTCGTTGCAGTACTTGAGCACCTTGCTGACCTCCTGCGTGTTCTTGGGCTTCAGGACCAACCGCGTCTGCCCGCCATACTTGCGCATCCAGTCGTTGTTGAAGGGAGCGAGATCGTCCGTGGCGTCAGCGGTGACGCCGTCGATGACGGCTGAATCTGCGCCGAGCAGATCCTTGAAGAATCGGACATGTTCCTCTGTCACCTGTGCGAAGTTCGGGTTCCGCTTGATATGGGGGTATGCGGCGGCGGTCAGTTGGACTTTGTTGGAGGCATCGGCGCCGACTGCGGAGGAGACGCTGAAGGGCCGCCGTGCTGCTGCTGCGGAGAGAGTAAAAGACGGCCTCGTAGAACAGCGACCCTTGGGCACTCGGGCCCATCGCAGGGTGAACGAGACACCTCGAGCAGCGGACATGGCGGCGACTGGTCGAGGAATGGGCGCACCCAGCTCGAGGAAAAGAATATTTTAATTTAAATGGGATGCGGATATGGCCTCCGAATTTGCTGGGTTTGGCAAAGCTTCCGCGCGGACAAGTCTCCGCAATCGGCGCAGGAACAACACAACAGCAGAAATCACCTCACGCAATTTAATGCAGATTAAGGTCAACTGCGTTTACGTCCATACGATCTCCCCACTCTTGGTCTTCCGTGGGACAGTTTGAGCATTTCAGACGATAAGTTTCGGATTTATCTAAGCAGGACTGCTGTCTTGAGTTCAAAGCTGGGAATACTGTACAGCATCAATTCAGATTGGCGACCAATATCTACTCTCTGGGAAAAGCAAATTGGCTTTTATATGATAGAAGAAAAGCAATCATGGCTGATGTCTGTCGCAATACTTGGATTGCATCAAATTCCAGCCTGTAGAACTGCTCACCGTTGAGAAGATGCCAGAAATATATGCGTACTATCAAGTATATATACAGTCCTATTGCGATGCACTGTCGACCTTCATTAGCACAGTCTTGGTCTCCAGGTAATTGTCCAGTCCACAAATCCACCCTTCACGGCCGATCCCGCTGGCCTTGTAGCCACCAAATGGCATGTCGGGCGCCAGCGACGGGCTGGCGCAATTGATGGACACTGTTCCAGCCTCGAACGCCTTGGCCATGCGCATGGCTCGATCAAGATTCTTCGTGTACACTGACGCATAGAGGCCGTACTCGCTGTCGTTCGCTTTCTGGATCACCTCCTCCTCGCTCTTGAAGGTGTTGATGACCACCACCGGACCGAAGATCTCTTCCTTCACGATCCTGGCGTTCTCGGGGGTGTTGGTGAAGATGGTCGGCTCGACGAAGTATCCGTTCAGATGCTGAAGGCCTCCGTTGCCGCCATGAAGCAGGGTGCCGGTCTTCTTCCCTTCTTCGATGTAGTTCGTAACGGTTGTGTACTGGGCCTCGTCGGCTAGTGGTCCATGATTTGTGTCCTTGTTCGTTGGATCTCCTGCACGTACGGCGGCAAACTTCTCCTTGAATAGCGAAATGAAGCGATCGGCGATGGACTCCTGGACGTAGATACGGGAATTGGCCATGCAAACCTGGCCGCTGTTATACTGGATGCTGAACCGCGTCTCTTCGCTGGCTTTTTTCAAGTCCGCATCCTCAAAGATCACCGCTGGAGTTTTCCCACCAAGTTCGAGGAGCACGTTCTTCAGATTGGATTTTGCCGCCGCCATTTGAATCTGCCGCCCCGTACGGACAGAGCCCGTGAATGTCACGACACGGACATCCATGTGGGAGGACAGGATTGCACCCGAGAGTGGACCGTGTCCGGAGATGATATTCAGTACACCTGGGGGAAATCCGGCCTTTTCGACCAAAGTAGCAACTTTTGCAGACTGGTCGTGCAACTATTAGAAGAAGAAAGAGAACATGAGTCCAGGGATATCGAATCTCACCGTCAAAGGGGCCTTTTCACTGCTTTTCAGCACCACCGTATTCCCAGCCATGAGGGCCGGGGCCGTCTTTTTGGCAAAGAACCCCAGAGGAAAATTCCACGGAATAATAGCAGCCACGACACCGTACGGCTGCCTGAAAGTCATATTCACGAAACCTGGGGTGTGTAAACTGGTCGTGCCCTGCGGCCTCAGCCACGCCTCAGAATAGTAGTCAAACTCCGCTGCGGCCCAATAGCTGTCATGGTATCGGGAAACCGGCTGACCCATGGAGATCGCTTCGAGGTATGCGAGCTCGTCGTGTGCTTCTCGGATCAAGTCTGCCAGTTTTTTGAAACATTGGCCGCGCTGAATCGGCGAGAGCGCAGACCAGCTCGGAAAGGCTGCTTTGGCTGCCGCAACGGCTGCATTGGTGTCTTCTTCACTGGCTTCCGGGACTGTGACAGTCAGATGGCATGTTTCATATGTGGATTGCTGGTGCAGCTCAGACTTACCATCTGCGATTTTCTCCCGTGTCGTAGGATTGTACAAGGGGAAAGTCTTCTTATCGGATGCCTCCACTAACTAAATGATGAGTATAAGTAAGCATCCATTTATGAAAACTCTTGATAGACTTAGAAGTCATTGCTGATCTGCTGGGTTTCTAACCTTCCCGTTGATAAGCAGTCGGGGTTCGATCCCTTCAGGAGTCATATTTGCTACTGCGTACGATCGGCTTGTTGAACTGCCGGTAATATACCAACGAAGATGTGATATTCCGATAAACAGAGATGCAGGCAATCTGGTAACGTCAAAGACCAGATAGATATGGCCAGGACTCATTCGCCTGCCGGATTAGATGGCCAATGTCCGATATTGACCCTGTTCCCCATCTTCGTATTTATAGCTCCTGACGCCCTGGGTTTGTCAAATCACATCCGCCTACGAACTTGCGTAGTGCGGAGAAATAAACTCTGTGACATTGTCAGTAGGCTAAATAAAGAGGAGAGAAGCCACAAAACCTCCGGGAGGAATTCTCTCACAGACGGCGAGCCCGTCCTCAATGCGCCTAGACAAGGATACCTCGACGAATTGCCTGCCAGAGCTAAGGAAATGGCCTGATTTCAGAGGATAGCACGTCCGGGGAGTAATCCGTTCTCGAACGTGGGGTCCCCGGAAATGTGGAACCGATGTTAAGCACCCAAGGGGGTGACAATAGAAAAAATGTTGAAAGTGGCATCTGCAATGGCTTAATGAGGAAAATCAAGTGCTATAGCAAAAGTGTCATAAGGAATTAGGCTGTGTGGGGTCAAGATGGAGAAGGTCTGAGAGGACAAGATCCCTGCGGGATTGTATTGCCGACAGGCAGGTAGATGGCCAGTGGGAGTGCAGTGTATTTATTAGCAGCCTCTTTCCAAGAGTTTAAATGATCCCACAGTCTACAGACTTGGGTGGGAGGGAATGCTAATAGCCCCACGGAATATTATTACCTAGTACCTGCCTGCCTAGGTAGGTAAGTAAATGTCAACCTGGCCAGCTATCGTACATACTAGGGTTGCACGAGATGACCTAGGTTTTGCTTTTGTAGCCCAGTTTGTCTGAGGCCTCTCTTTCTGCTTGACCATGTTGTCACCTTGCTACAAATACTTCTCCTCATCAAAGTCATCGAAAATCCAATGCTCGCATATCCTCGCTCTTTCCTCGTCCGACTCTGCTGCATCGAGCGCATCGGCTTTCAGCTTCCTTTCGCGTCGCTTCGCCTCTTCGTACTGATCCGAGGGCACCCACCCCTCGGGCCCGACGCCAATAACATCCCTGCAAGCCTCGAATTGCTCATCTGCTTCGACTTGCGCAGCATTTATGCGCAAACACTCGCTCGCCTCGTCTTCTGGGAAAGCGATCGGGCAAGGAGGCCTCACATCGCCGCCTGTGCTCGATTTTGAATGGGTGATCTTCGACCAGTTCTTGGCCAGCTGGATCAGATCGGCTTTTAGGGTCACATTATCACCTTCCCAGGGATCACTCGCGTGATGAAAAGAGTTTGCGCCTCAATATGCTCAGATCATATGCCAGGGCATGGTAGTACATGGGGTTTAGCTTTGCGGTTGTTGTGACGTAGAAGTAGTGAAGTTGGCGCCTACGGAGGAGCTCGACTTGCTCGAATTGCTCTCTTTCACTCAGTTCGTCGAAATGGTGCGGTAATTCAGGGGCTTGCAACGATTCTGAGACGCTGTCACCGTAGTTCCGGAAGCTGTTTGGGATCCCGCATTGCAGAAAGAGCGGGAGTATTGCGCAGTGTTGCCAGTCGATCAGGCCGTGATCTCAAGATTATCAGAGACGAACACGTTATTGGGTTGGAGGTCAGGGTGCCTTATCGTCGGACGTGCGAGAGTGTCATTGTCGTTCGGTATGAGGTGGGGAGCGATTCGCAGGTATTTCTCCAGATTGTCCAGATGCTCTAAATGCGATTGCTTTTGATAATTGTAAATCTCTCTGCGTAGCCGTTGAAAAGGGTGAAGTGGTCGTCCAAATTTCTTTAAGTATGCAATCTCCTTCTTCGCCCCGGCTGTAAGAGCCGCTGCTGGATCTCTGTCTTTTAGAATTTAGTCATAGCTGCCAACGTACAGTAAGGTATTTCAAAGTATATTGTTGAAATAACGGTGCATGGATAATACGTACATGGTCCACGATCAACCTGGAGATTGAGTCTTTTTTCCATACCACAGTCTCAATATAGTATCAGGACCAATGCAGAAGCGACTCTCGCTCGCAGAATTGGTGGTAGGAATGTCAACCTTGTTTGACCCAGCTGGCAGGTCCTCGGTATAGTACAGACTCCCACTTGCCGGAAATCGAAGAGCAAATAGTCGAGACTCGAACTCTACGAGTTTGGTAATGACGGCGATCCTGGCCTTTTTCGGACATATCAAACCAGATGTCGCCCAAGTTGGTTCCGCGGGCAAGCTCCATAAAGACGTATTCAGTGCCCGCAGCGTTTTCCGATGTGGCAGAGTAACCGTAGACCTTGGGGACGGGTATACCATGCGAGCGTAGAAAATCCATCGTTGCAACTTCGCTAGCTACAACCAAGTACTTTGGCTAGTAACTGGATAGGGGATGCGCGCAACAAACTGAAAGCCATCACGCATCGTGACCAGAAAGGTTCGATTGAAACCCCCTTCAGCAAGTTTTTCAAAACGAACGACATCTTCTGCGTTCTGGTTCACAGATGCAGCCGCAAGGCGCTTGAGTTCGGATACGTTGAAAACGCGTCTCCTTTCAGACCGTCTCAGGGCGTCATTACAACTTCAGACCATAGTCAGTGATGAGCTTCGGCTTAAAAAAAGAAAGGGGCAGACAAACATCCATCGCCCGGACGTATACTCGAATAATTCTGAAGGTTCTTCGATTGATTGGCCAGCCAGAGAACGCGTTGTTTCTGTGAAGGATATCCTAGTTCTTAGGGGTGCTATAGCTGGCAAAAGGGGGCGATAGAGGGAGGATATAATCGAGCGGCTCTTCAAATGTCGACAAATCTCCATAACTTGAAAGGTAGTGTGACGAGAAAGACTCAATCGTTGTAGCGATTGAAGAGCTGTCCACCGCGGCTGATCAACATTGTCAGGTGTCTTCCGCGGCATGGTTTTTACATGTCACTGGCATACCTAAATACCTCCAGACCCTAAGTTTCTTCCCACAAATACACAATCATTTGCTTTTAGTGGGATATGAGGGATGAATTTTGCTGCCTTGGTATGGTCCTCTTATAGTGTCTCGTCCACAGAGATTAAACAGAATGTGGAATTTTTGAGAAATCCCTGCCACATTTAGGTGCTCGGTTTTTGGCAAGTGTCCACCAGTTGAAAGCCTTAAATCTAACATGCCTCATGGCTTTCATTTCTTTGTCAGATATCTCTACTCTCTAGTGTCTTCGATCGCTCTGTATGTCTTGATTCGGCCTAGATTACCTGCAAGACTGGTTCATTTTTGTCAATGCGTTCATGGCTACAGCCATATTACATGGAGGAGGTCAGTCGTAGATTAATTCTTTTATTACTTCAAGACATGATGCCATTGTCGATAATATAGACTATCAGAAACGTTGGCGCTTGATTGACCGCCAAGGTAGCTAGGAGTGCAGACTGAGTGGTCCGATCTGCCCGACACTTGCGATTTCCCAAGACGCTCTACGTCTTCCCAAACCCCATCACCGACTTATCTACTGGCGTACCGGCAAACTGATGCGCCATGGTCTTATCCGCATCCACAGCTTGACGTTCCGTGACATGACTCGAGAACTTGCGAGTCGACACGCCCTTTTCAACAATTCATCCAGCTGCTCCAAGCTCCGCCCCTTCGTCTCAGGGACAAAGAGGAAGACCCAGATCGCCAGTACAGCGTTGCTGCCACCCCAGATATAGCAATACTTAGGGCCCCAGTTCAGCGAATCCGGATTGATGAAGTAAGGGGTACAGAACTGACACAGCCAACTGAAGACGAAATTGATGCCGTTCGCAAGAGCAACGGTTTGTGCACGCAGTCGCTGGGACGGCACCTCCCCGGCAATAGCCCACAGAACAGGGCCCTGGCCAATGCCGTAAAACCAGGTGTAAAAGATGTTAAGTCCGATCAGGGCTTTGCCAGCACCGGGAGAGCCGACTGTGCTCTTGGTATAAGTAATGGCGTTGGCGAACATGAAGACAGCACTCATTGCGGAGCAACTGATGAGTAGCACGCGCCGGGGAAGGAAGCGCATAGCGGGAAACGCCGCCAGGTTGCCTGTCATTGAGATCGCGAGACCAACCATGACCCAGGTAAAGGGCTGAGCAATGCGGGCTTGGACGTAAAAGTAAACCGAATAGCCAGAGACAAAAATAATACCAGTGGCAGTTTGGCCAATAGATACACCCAAACAGATCAGCGTTCGACGCAGATCGGGGCCGCTGAACATATCTCGCAGATGAATTCCACGATGGAGCTCTTTCTCTGTTATCCAGGCATTCTTGATATCAAGGATTTCAGCGTCGATGCGGGAGTTGTCCGTAATACCACGAATTTTTCGTATTGAAAGGGCCGCTCTGTCTTCCCGTCCACGCGAAATATAATACCGAGGAGTATCAGGCAGCCAAATAAGAACAATACCGATACAAGCTGGAACTATATACATTACAGCGAGGGGTATCTGATAGCATACACGCGAAATAGAGGCGTTTGTGTAGTTGTCAACAAGGATGCCTATCAGCGCGCCAAAGGAGGTTTGAAAGACAACCAAGCCGACAATGGACCCGCGGAAATGGGAAGGGGCGACTTCACTGATATAGGTGACGGAGTAGGCGACAAAGAGCCCGTTTGAAAATCCGAGAAATAGCCGTCCAATATACAAAGCTGCCATGGTCGTCGAGCCAATCTGGATCGATATGGCAACGATTCCAAAGAGACAGGCTGCCCAAAGCCCAGTCCGTCGGCCGGCTCTGTCACCAACAAAGTAGATGACAGTAGTGGCTACCAAGCCACCCAGATTCATGAGACTCTGGATCAGCCGCTGAACTTCGGTGCTGATATTGTAGCCAATGGTACTGTCTGGCTGTGCAAGGTCAGGAGTCAGCAAATGGACCGAGCAAGGACGCTCAGGACATCTGATCAATAGGAAAAATGACAAAGTACATCCTTATAGCCATATATGGAGAGAAACCCAGGCATGCTCTGGAATCCCGACACCGCTGCGGAGTCGTAGCCATATTGGAATTGACCAAAAGCAAGGAAAAAGCAAATCAAGACGACACGCTTCTCCTCCAGCAGAGTGGTGAGACGGGGGTTGGCAGAGGATCTTTCTTGCATGTTCTTCACAATGCAGAGCAAGGGATATATAAAGGTCAAAACGATCTGCTTCGAATTTGGCAACTCGGTAGTGATAGAGGACAATGCCATGGCGAGGTCCACTGTATAAACGCGATACAATGCGGAGGATCCGCATTCCCAGTCTCTGCATGGTGCCACGCATCCTTGACAGGGTTCCCAAGAGGACAAAGAACATATTCCGGACAATATTAATACTGCGGGGTACACGACGTCGCAATGCATTCAACTAGCTGCATCAAGCTGCTATGTGTCTGCTCGCTGGGATTTTGAGAGGCATGCGACGCCGAGAATCATGATTGCTTGGTGTTACATCGGCTTCATGATGCCGATCCAGCGTCCATCCCAGTCACAAAGATGGATTCGACATTAGAGATCACGTGCCAGGTTAGCAACGTCCCTGTTTTAGTTCTGTTCAGCCGGAAGACCAGATGAAACATAGAAAAGGCGGATTCCTGTGCAGCACGAGCTTGCTGCGCATGGTGCCATTGCAGACGCGTTCCATTGCGTCTGCTGCACCATCAAGTAAGCTATGACCAAAGGCAGTTTTGTTCCTAGATGAAGTGACAACCATCGCAGAAAAATGTGGTAACAGCGCACGTTGCGTCGCAGACCGTATGATGAGAACTGCAGGCGGGATGCAAGGGTCTCTTATATTGAAGCCAAACTCGACTGACATGTTGAACAGAGCGCGAGGATCTCGGTGGTTGGTGGATTCGCCGTGGCCCCCGGGAGATGGCCGATTAACGCCGCATTAGCGCTGCCGGTTGCTATAAGCGACCGTATCTGTTGACCTCCGCCCCAGAGGAGAGCGGCTGCCCCCAAGACCCGCGAGCTTACTGAGCTTCAGCTCCCCCAACCCGGGATATATTATTATAACTCTTGCTTCCCTTTGAAACTTCCCAGAGTGCACCTGCTACTCCCTCTCAAGCGCCAGGCTGTTGCTGGACTGTTGTCTTGCCAGAAAGGAGTAGCTGGTCCGCATTCCGCGATTGGCTGCAAAAATGGCGGCCGACATGGCGGATCGCTACCAAATGATGGAGGAGCTGGGGTGTACGGTTCCTATCGCCCTCAATGGCACTGTGTTCGCTTACTGACGGCAATTGATCGCAGGTGGAAGCTTTGGCACGGTTTACAAGGCCATTGAGAAGGATACCGGGGAGATTGTTGCCATCAAGCATGTAAGCGAATCGCCCCTCCTGTCGCACTTCCCAGCTGACAAATGGATTCTGGCAGATCGACCTTGAATCGAGCGAAGATGATATCCAGGAAATCCAACAAGAAATCTCGGTCCTTGCGACATGCGCGAGTCCGTACGTCACACAGTACAAGGCGAGCTTCTTGCGGGGCCACAAACTGTGGATAGTGATGGAATACTTGGGTGGGGGCTCTTGCTTGGATCTGGTATACAACCATGGTTCTCTCAGCCACGAAGGCCAGGACTAACGTTGGTAGCTTAAACCCGGCGTATTCAGCGAAGCGCATATTGCCATAGTCTGCCGTGAGCTGCTGCTAGGCCTCGACTATCTCCACCGAGAAGGGAAAATCCATCGCGACATCAAAGCCGCCAATGTCTTGCTGTCCCAAGCCGGAAAAGTCAAGCTGGCAGACTTTGGTGTGGCTGCACAGCTCACCAATATCAAGTCGCAGCGGAATACATTCGTCGGAACGCCATTCTGGATGGCGCCGGAAGTTATCCAGCAGGCTGGATACGACTTCAAGGCCGACATCTGGTCACTCGGCATCACGGCAATGGAGATGGCAAATGGAGAGCCGCCAAACGCCAGCACGCATCCGATGAAGGTGCTGTTCCTCATCCCCAAAGCACCGGCGCCTCGTTTGGAAGGAAACGAATTTAGCCAAAATTTCAAGGATTTCATCGCTCAATGCTTGATCAAGGATCCAGACCGGAGGCCGACAGCGAAAGAACTACTGAAGCACAAATTCATCCGCAGTGCGGGGAAGACTGAGGCCTTGCAGGAGCTGATTCAGCGCAAACAAGACTGGGACGCAGGCAAAGGAAACACTGAGAACGTCAAATACTACGCCGAGACACTGTAAGCGACAGTTGCTTTCGACATTTGAGTTTTGTGCTGACGATTGCAAGGAACACGATCACACCAAAGGACGATGATGACGGATGGATATTTGACACGGTCAAGGCGCCTCCGACGATTTCGGAACCTACCAAGAAAATGCCACCTACATCACCGGACAATGCGGAGGATTCGTCGCTGGGGATGGAGGATCTGCATATTTCCAGTCCACCGAATCCGCCAAAGCCTGTCGCGAATTCGACTGTGCGACGGACGCCTGCCCCAGAGCGATCACCGTCAATCAAACGAGCAAATACTAAGCGACGCTCCAGTGGAGTAAAACAACCACTTGGTGTGGACTTGAGTTTTGGAAACAGCCCGTCCACGGTGCGTCAATTCCGCAGGGTGTCAGACAAGATGACGGACGATTCTGGTCGCCATCCTCATCTGCCTCCTGGGATGGATGAAAATGCCAGCCCGAAGACTTTGTTCTCCGAGACCACCACCACCACCACCACCACCAACAGCAAGGAAGCGCAATTAGGCAGGAGGGCATACAGTAAAGCTATTGGATTGGCTTGCCAGGAGATTCTGGCGAACACGGGCGACCAGGAGAAGCGGGAAGCAATCTCTCGGCTCGCCGAGGCCTGGAGCGATCTGGAAATGATCGATCCTGAAGGTCTCTATCACATTTTGAAATTGTCCAACGAGAAGCTGAGAGCGTGAGTGCCTTTGCATGTCAATTGCAGGAGCTATAATTGCTAACAGAAAACATCTTAGTGACCCCAAACTGGCCTGTCTGCTTCCCGAACCATCTCCATCCGAATGTCCCCAAAAGCCACGGCTTGTTCTGGCGCAGAACAACCCACATCTCAAAAGTCATCGGCGTCGCCAATCGGCCCAGGCCCAGGCTGAGGCGAATGCGAATGCCTCGCAGATGCCAAACCTTCCCGGACAGCACGTTCTGGGTATGGAACACACCAAGCAATTGGCGGATGTCCTGTACCAGCGCTGGAGTGAAGGCCTACGCAACCGATGGCCGGCCATCTGATTGTTTCGCCTTGCCTCGCCCGCTTGTCTCAATACGTCATGTACCATTCATATTTCCATTTCTCTGTAAAACATTGCCGCCACATGTGCCCTGGGTTTGCCTTTGTCGTCCCCTTTTTATGTTCTTTATCTTCCTTTCCATTGGATCGCCGGAGTCTGGAGGTGTTCTTTCTGCTAACCAAAGTTGTTTCTTTATCGTCTCGGCTCCCTCCTTCTGATCCTTTCATGATTTCGTTCTTCCTTGGTCACGATGAGCTTTTGTCAGTTGGTCGACGCATAGCGCCCGGCGTTCCTGGCTTGGCTACTTCGGTTAGCAACTGCTTCTGGACTCTCTCTTTCTTGTCAGTTCGCGGGTGCTTCTATTGACACTGCACAATAGCGGAGTTTGACCGGTCGGCTTTTCGTTCTTGCACTGGCGGGTCCGTTTTCAAGGAGCTCGAAAAAGCAAGTCTTTTTTTGTCTGATTTTCTATCCTATATTTCCCCGGCATTTTTGTACAATTTTGATTTCCCTCGTGTCATGACTTTGAGTCTCCCCATCATACTCTGTAATTGTCTTGGGACCCGTCATGCCAGTGTTTTGAGTTCTTGGATAGATACAGTTTCGGGGTGATTGTGTTCTATATTTCACTTTTCTTTTTTGTTGTTGATAGGAAGGCATATGGACGCTTGGACTCATCTGCCGCCTTGTCTTTCCAGGGTGACAATGAGATCAAGATTGGCTGGCTATGACGCGAATAAGCGGCGAGTGGAAGGTACCTAGGTAGCTTCAGATGTAGATTAGCAGGATATGAGTGAATGAATAATGGACTTTGCAATGAATAATACTATATTTGGTCACGTGCAGCTTAACCAGAGTCGTAGCCATCCTCGTTACCCCCTGTCTGCGTCAAGCTAGGTCATTTTTATTTCAGGGATCGTCTTCGTGACGATGACAATAAGCATCAGCATGCACTGCCATGCAGTTCATATGGGGCAGTATTATTGCCATGTCAATCCTCGCAGCACCGGCGGCGGTCCAGCCCCTGAGCGCGGCCGCGGTTCCTGCAGACGGAAAGGATGCGCGCTGCCCGGCGGGTCGAGCGCCTCGTGCTGGCGTCGCCTGTCCCCATCGTAATACAGAGCAGGCGCGTTAAATTAAACATGAAACGGCGCCGACTGCTCAGTGCTGCAGGTCATCCAGTACGCTTTTCTCCTCGTTCTTTCTGTCGTGCTTCTGCTTCTGTTTTTTCTCTCGTGTTCTGTGCAGTTGTGCCAGTCATGCTCCTCCGTCTCTGCACTCCAATCACTTGACTGCGTTCCCTCTCTGCACGCAGATTGGCCCTCCATGGAGCCTGCCGCCGGAAGCCTCAACGCCAGCAATGGAGCTCCGTCAGAGCCGCCCCTGTCCGAGGGACAGTCCTCGACCTCAACGCTCGATCAACGCGCTGAGGAACGGGCGTCTTTGCCTGCTCGTCCCAACATGGCTGCGCGACATTCGAAGCGTCTGACCCTGAACTTCCCCATTATCCCGCCGCCGTCGCTCCGGTCCGAACAGAGCTCGCCGTCCACGGGTCTGATGACGCCTGCCACGGAATCGTCCGCCAACGGGCCGGTTCCCCTTGACGACTCGAATGATGGCTCTGATCTCCTCACTGCGATTGCGACGCAAGAGCGCAAAGTGCTCGAGCTGCGGGAAGAGCTCCAGCGGGCTGAGACGGAACTGGCCAACCTGAAGAAACAATGGGCCTCGAGCGAGAGAGCAAGGAAGAGGACTGAGATCAGCTACCATGCGGAAGCCATGAAGCCGCTGAGGTCTCCGGGCTCTGCCTCCGCGGCCGATTCTCTGAAGTCACCCGAGGAACGCACTCCTAACGGTGTGGATGCCTCGAGGCAGGCCAGACTGAGCCGTGAACTGGAGTGGCGGAACAGCATCCGAACTGTCCAGAATGGGGATATCGCGATCTCTGCCAACGGCAGGCGAGTGTTCCCGAGCTCGAAGCATACGCGGACCTTGTCCTTACTCTCGAATGAAACGATCGCCGGCGGCAAAAAGGGCGACACGGATGACAAGAAAGCCGGAAATGAACAGCCAGCAACTCGACATCCGCGATCGGCGACTCTTCCTTCTCTTGAACGCAGCGACACCGCCAAGACTTCAGAGTCGGCCCGGGAGGAGTCACGGTTACACTGGCGGAGATCCATGCCTCCTCCTTCCCGGGAGGCACTCTTGCGCACGGGCAGACAGATGGCGTCGGATCTCAGAGAGGGCTTATGGACGTTCCTGGAGGACATTAGACAAGCGACGGTGGGCGAAGAAGGGATCAACGCCACCGAGTCCAGAACAATACAGTCCACGTCTACTCGGAGGACCGATCGCAGTGTGACGCCGTCTCGAAGTCGCGAGCGGCCGGAGGCTGGTCCTGGGCGAACAAACTCGTCTTCGTCCGCATCCAAAGAGAAGGGGGGAGCCACCAAAAAATCTGGTAAAAACACCACTCCGGCGGACATAGGGGTGTCGTTTTGGAGTGAATTCGGAATTGATACGTCGGGGCAGAAGTCCAATACCGAAAAAGCCGCCAACAGCACTCCAAATGCACAGAAAGAGTCGGGAGACTCGAACCTCCTCGATGTTGATGACAATTGGGACTCTTGGGATACCCCCCAGCCTACCAAGACGCACACGCCATCCTCCAGTCGCTCAACGATTGAATCCAAGAACGACCAGTCTCCATCCACTCAGCTGAGCAGTCCCAGAACAAGTGCCAGGTATGTACAGTTACAATCAAAAACAGGTCTTGGCAGCCGGGCTAACGAAAGCATAGCTTTGGGGAGCGGAATGCGACAAACAAGGATTCTGTCATTGATACCAACATCTCCGATGGTATTCCGTGGCCAGCACTGAGCAAGTTCACACCTTCCAAGCTTACACGAACTGCGTCCAATCTGATGGCGGAATGGGAGCGAAGCCTGACTTCCTCGCCTAAAGAAGACCGGAAGGAGAATAAGGAGAATAAGACCCTGCGCGCTGACGAGACAGATGAAGACGATTGGGGGGCACCTTTTTGACATGTCATTTCTTAGAATTTCCTGGACATTTTTCTGCATGTAGATTTTCGCGACGATGCCCACGACACGGCCCTTTCTATTTCATGGACCCGTTCCACCGCACTGGCATGAATAACGAGTGACAGCTATTTCAGTTTCAGCGCAGATGACCATGTCTTCTCACTCCAAGGCGAATGCTTACGATTGTGTCTTGCGGCGTGCTTTCTATTTCTGTTCTTTACTTCGCACCCATCCCGCGGAAGACGCGGGGATGTATTTACTCACGAGCCAATTTGGGCTATATTTTATGTCTACCTAGCTTCACATGAGAGTACTTTGAAATGACATCTGGCTACTCGACTTTGAGCTCTATGCACGTCTATTTTGTTATATCTGCAGTCTATTGCATACGAGGCGCAGCCATCCAATAATAATTTTCATAAGAAAATGAAAGCCTAAAAAATCTAAAGATCATGACTAGCTGAGAAAAAAAAAGGTCTATATGAGAGACTGGTGTACTGTACATTTTACTATTACTCCTGTGTTGATCTCAAAATAGCACACTTGGCAACTCCGGCGCGCCGGAAAAAAATAATTTGCCGCCTCATCTCCGCGCGGGAGCTGTTTTATCAGGTAACCAACCTTTTTATCAGGCATTCGCTTTCCGCAAGCCTGATAAATATTGTGCATCACTCTGTTGTGTTTAGGGGTGCTGATTGGTCTTTTTTTTTTCTCTTTCTCTTCTCAGCAGTGTCCTCGCGTTGGTGTTGCAGCTTGACGTTGCGCAGGACCTGATAAAACAGACAAGACAGAGACAGACCAACTGCAAAAATGAACTTCCCAGGAATGACACCGCCCATAGGCGGCGCCGGAGCAGGCGCTGGAACTGGAATTGGAGCTGGAACAGGAGCTGGTGCTGGTGCAGGAGCTGCTGGGTTGAGCGAGCAGGAACAGGCCATGATCAAAATGGTAGGTTTTTGGTAATTCATATATATCTTGGAGGTTGGATTCCTTTGCTGACTCATGTAATTTGCGACGACATCAGATGCAATCGGCCATGGAATCCTGTCCTGCCAAAACCGTTATCTCGGGAACTATGGGTTTCGCGCTCGGTGGTGCTTTCGGATTGTTTATGGCTAGTGTATGTTTTTCTCTCTCCCGATGTGTTTGTTGCCGGTTCTTGTGATCTGGATGCTGACATATCTCCTCCTCCCTGGCGATGTGTAGATGTCATATGATACCCCCCTCACACCGCAAGGTCAAGAGCTCTCCAGTCTCCCGTGGCGCGAACAGCTTCGTCGCGGCTTGAAAGATATGGGCTCGCGGTCGTGGTCGTCTGCGAAGAACTTTGGCATCGTGGGCGCTCTCTTCTCCGGCACCGAATGCTGCATCGAGGGACTTCGAGCGAAGAACGACATCAAGAACGGCATCGCGGCCGGCTGCATCACGGGTGGTATCTTGGGCGCTAAAGCTGGCCCGCAGGCCGCTGCTGCGGGTTGTGTCGGTTTCGCGGCGTTCAGTGCGGCGATCGATGCGTATATGCGCATGCCGTCGGATTGAACTTCATCGTCTTCGTGAACTATTACGAGCGGGTTCGCTTCGCTTTTCATGACGTACCCCTCAATTCGGACGCGTTTCATAACAAAAAAAAATCCAGGATGTGGATTCTTTTTGATCCGCAGCAAACAGTCTTTGGTAGATGGATATCTCGACGGAAGAGGCGTTTTCGGCGTTGACGTTACGACACGATAGACATGGGCGAGCATTGCTGGCGTTCGATTGTGTTTTGGTACCTACTCTTTCCCTTCTCACTTGTGGTTGACCTCTATTGAGGTTTCATTTATACATCGTCAGTCGGGGCAACGATCTACGCATATGTACAGTACGATATTTTCGAGCGGCCGTATATCATCATTATGGCACATCTTGTGGATATATGTGAGGGTCTGTGATGTTTTTTTTTCTTCGTTTTCGTGGATTATTATATTATTCTTTTATTTATTATTCGACTCTCAACTCACAATATCAGTATGTACAGTACATACGGAGACTATAGAAGGCGTACAGCGCAATATACGATGTTGTATATGATGTTTTCTTCTTCTTCTCCTTTTTTTTTCAGGCAAAGATTACGTATTACAATGATATTACTGCTCACTATGCACCTTCTACCTCTCGACAATATTGTTGTTTCATGCAGACATAAGAGTGCTTTGTGGGGAACTCCTCATTATAAGAGGAACTATTCCAATGTACGTGTTTTGTTTTTAATTAACATTCGTCTGTCTGTATGTATGTACTGTACATAAGTTCGTCCTTCCCGTATTTATGGATTTTTTTTGTTCAAGGGGAAATGACGCTCAGGCACGAACTCTACACCAGCCCGGTGTCAATGTGGAGCAGTCGATTTCATCAGGAGATATGGAATAACACGGGTCTGGACAGCTATTCCAACCTCTTCCACTCCACGTATCTTTCAGAGCCAGTATGGGCCGACGCCAGAAGCAAATCGAACTCCTTTTGCGTCGCGTTCTTTGGCAGTCGCATTGGGAACGGAGGGATGATTGTGTTTTTCGATTTCATCGCAAGCCCTGCATCTCGTGTGATTTCCTTGAATCGATGCTTCTTCATGTACCGTCCGAATATGGCGTCGACATCGCGGACCATGTCTCGCGCAAATATCAGTCTCAGAAAATCAGCATCTGATTTGTCGCCTCGCCGCACGAAATTAGGAGTGATTGGGAGAAAGCGACTGAGGTAGGACAGATCAGACTTCAGAGATGCTAAAGATTGCGAGTCTTCTTCGTCAATGGCGTTGAGAAACAGTCCTATCAGAGTCGCGTGGGGATTCTCCGTCTGTTTCTTCAGTAAAGGACCAAACGTAGACAGCATCGTCCGGGGACCAAGATAGGCATTGTCTGCGATATTTGACACCTATCTGGAATCAGCAACGATGTTTTTCGCCTGGGCAGATTCTACCTACCTCAATACGGTCGAATGAAGTTGGACTGATGCCATCGCTTTTCAAGGAAGCGGGAAGAGTAGTCGCATCGAGGTGGAAAAGCTGGAAACTGACGCTGATCGTGGCGAGTCGAGCGCAATACTTGGAAAACAAATCGCGCAGGAAGAGAAAGAGGCTTCCATAAAGGTCCTTCTCCGCAAGCGGAGCCTTCGACATGACCTCTTGGATGCGCCATCCGTCGAGGGGGTCTGCAGAATCTTTCATTGGCCATGAGGTCGTTTGATAAAAAGTTCTGTGTTCAAGTCATCGATCAGCACATGTCCTCATCTACTTACGAACGATTGGGCTTACGGATTCGGCGTGCAAAACTCCCGACGGCATGCCCCAAATGGCAGGAGAATTCCATCTTCGCGAAACTTCATAATGCAGACTCTCCACTCGGGAGGTTTGTTGTACAGATCACGATGGCGATAATCTTCTCGGTGCGGTGCTAATGTTGTCGACCTCCGCACGCGTTGAGCCTGATCTGTTGACAGTCCTGCAGGCACGTCAAGGTATGCAGGAAGTTGATCCCATTGCTCCTTCCGCAAAACGAGACGCAGGGACCTCGATCCGCACTTCCAAGTCTTCGCTAGCAGAGCATCCTTTCTTTTGTCACGGACTTTCGAGCATGCGTCTTGGATCAGAGGTAATAACTTGGCGCGTAAGGAGGAGAGCATTGCCTCTGGAAGAAGCGCAGAATACCACAGGTGCACCATTATCACACTTGCTTCCGCAGGTTCATAGTGAAATGAGACAAGGATGAGCAGGACATTCCTGGCAACGATGTCCAAATCCCTGTCATTGACCACGATATTGCAATTCCCGGAGAAATCGGCTGGCAGTGACGCCAGGGACTTGACAACGTTGCGAAGATCGCCCGATGCTATCGCAACAGTCAGTTACATACCTTATGCAACTTGAAATTTAGGATCTGAACTCACCGGCGAAAAGCAGATCAAGATCTCCACGGAAATTGCAGCCTTCATTTTGTTCCAAGTTCAACACGTCCAACGCTGGCGTGTTTCCCCACGGGTATTTCTTCGCCCCATGTGTCGTCAAGCCTGCTGTAGCAGTGACGAAAGCAGGAAGCCGTCTTTCTTCTTCCCAGGAGGGTCTCCAAGTCTGTTGCAGAAGCTTAGACTTGCAGTCTCTTTTGTGTACGGGCCAATGCGCGACCTGGCAGTCTCTGCTACAGTACTGAGCAAGCAGTCTGTTAGCTGCGAAGCTTTTCAGGCCGGGTGAAGGGATACGAACCTGAACGAGATGACAGTCTTTGCATGCCTTAGTAGCTTGATTCGGACATGGTGAGTCCTCATCTCGCCCCGTGTTGGCACAGGGTGGCGTGGACATTGAATAGCAGTTCATCGTCTTTCGCTCTGTAAGGCTAGACAAGAATTAATTGTCAACGCAGACGATGGAGACGATCTATTTTGTAAGTCAAGGCTCCTAGTTGAGAAGTTTCTAGTCAGATTAATGAAGGAACAGGCCGACTAGAAGCCCGGAACCTACCTAGGTAGAGAGCCCATCAGCTTCCATACCGTTCTTTGTCACGGAGGGTTCCGTTTTCTTCTTTGATCAGAGCTCCTAGGCACGGAATAAAGCCCTAAGA